AGACGAACGGAGAGGGCTTCTGAGTCGAAGGACGGCGCGCAGAGGGTTGGAAGTGCGAGGTTGTGGGGATAGAGGAGTGGGCAGTGGGCAGCAGACAGCGCGGTCCATGGTGAGTAACAACATGGAAACGAGAACTGGAGGCTTACCTGGGAGCACACAGAAGACCAAGCGATGAGCCAATGTAAGTGAAGAAGGTGCGAGGTGGCTGAGGATGGGGGTGGGAGGCAGTCAAAGAGGGGACGGCGCGAGAGCGAGAGCGGGAGCAATAAGCGCCGAAGTATGTCAGGGAGAGCGCGAGGCGTGTAGGATCACGACGCTGTGTTGGCAGACCGTATACTGAGCCAGTGAGAAAGCTCAGGCGGGTTTTCGCAGATGCAAGTAAGCTGCTCTGACGCCATCGTAGAGCGAGTGGCAGGCGGTACGCGCCCAGCTGTACGGTGCGGCGGGACCGAACCGAATGAGCTAGGGGACGCCACAAAGGCGATGGTGAGCGGGCCAGTTTCTGCGTGGCTAAGCCCCTGGACCGTGGCTGAGACGTCGGCCGCATGAGTGGCTGGAGAAAGGTTGTTAGGTCAATACCTAACGGTTACAGTGTAGGGCCTGGTGGTGCAGGTGTTAGTGCTCATTGGGCAATCGGTGGGTTCGATTCACGCTTCCTGCGCAATTGTTTTATTGTAATTACGCTAATTACATGTCTTAGACACACGGTGTCTTAGCCACGACCGTGTCTCAGCCAGGGCCGTGTCTCAGCCAGGCCCCAAGGCGCTTAGTGGATCCGGGCGCTTATGAACGTCTAAGCCGGTGTGGCTAGTCCGGTGTAACATAATAAGTTCCCGTGTCTAGGCCGCCGAACTGAAACTCTTGGGTTGGATGGGGTTTTTTATCAGGGAAGCGACCGAACGGCATCATACACCTGCCTCTTTTCCTTGGCCCGAAGACACAGACGGTCCAGTTGACGATGGAAGACGAGTTCATATCGCAAGCTCTAGATCAGCTGGCCATTTCATGTCCGCAGCTCCAATGCATAGAAGTGCCTAGCTTCCCAAAGGGGTCCGTTGAGATTCTATCATGCTTTGACGCTCTGGAGGAGATTCGTTGCTCGGACATCTACCGTGGTGGCGACCTGGTTAATCTGGCATTTATAGCTCGTCTACCAGTGCTACGCCATCTATCTATTCCGCTACGCGAGGATCTCTCCGGTATGACGTTTACAGGCGATCGCGGTACGACATTTACCGCTCTAGAGTCACTCAAGTTGCACGACGTTGACTATGTCCAAAGTCTCGTGTTTCTCCTCCAGTCCATCAGCTCTATACGCCTCCGAACCCTCTTCGTCGAGTTCACGAACAGTTTTGACGATGACAGAATTGAGGCTGCAGATCAAGCCCTCAGTTCACTTGTCAAGTTTACAGAACTGCGCCGCCTAGACTTCGGCGAATACAGCTCCAAGTTCTCAAATTTTCCTCCAGAGCCGATCTTGAAGCTCCATAACCTCGAAGAACTCGACCTCGGCCTCGGCAGCTTGTCCTTGACAAAGCAAGGCGTCATGGATCTTGCCCAAGCATGCCCCAAGCTGCGACGCTTGCAGCTATCCGAATTCTGCGACTACGATGGTGAAGAAGACTCCCAGCCCTGGCCGCTATATGCGCTGGAGTGGTTCGCGACCTATCTGCCGATGTTGGAGTATCTGGAGACGAACCTCGAAACCTCTACCGTTTCCAGTCTCGAGACACCGCTTGCACGGTCGCTCGTCCCGATCAGCTTGGTGTTCTGGAGTTCCCCGCTACGGGAAGAACATTGGCGGCAGGTCGCAGTTTACATATCGTGTGTGTATCCGAACGCGAAATGCGAGGACGGATACGGTGATGCTTTTGCTGACGATGAGTTGAGATCTGGTGAACTGCGCTGGCGTTATGTCGCACGAGCAGTGGCGGAAGCGCGTGCGGACAACTGTAGTTCGCGTGTTCCGGCCTGAGGAATGTAATATCATCCTTGATGATTTCAACACGGTGGAAATATCCACTGCCATCCCGAGGCGGCGCTTCAGAGTTAGCGCGCCTTGAGCTTGAACGTTTGAACGTTTGGACATCCACGTTCACCACGACCGTCTCTGACCGTGCATCGCGCTCTCCAAATATCAGAAATTCTGGAAATGATCCTGCGGTCCATCAGGCGGTGGTCTGGGAAGGCCGTGGCCGCTGCTGTGGCATCTACATGTCGAGCGTTCTATGAACCTGCCAGTGACGTCCAGAGTCCGGGAGGACTTGCCTCGCCTTCGACCGCTCCTTTCGTGCTTACCTGGTAATGTACTGACAAAATCTGGACTACTTCCGGTGGGTACATGTTCTCTTTGCATGACTAGGGTGCTTACCTTGTGATAGGATGTGGCCCGCGAACTCGGCAGTGAACCGTGGACGCACTTCGTGAAACATGCTGCACGCGTCAAGACCTTGAATTAGATGAAGACTCTTGGAAGATCTCGAGAAGCACCTGAACGCATTGTTGTTCATGCACTCGGGTCGCGTTTCCGTGATCTTGCCGAGCCTGCGCAAGTTGGCAGTTGATTGTGACGCTGGTTCGACGACGCAGCCAAACACCTACCTCCCTCTTTTGCTGACCCCAAATATCCGGACAGTTGAATTGCTGATAGATGACGGGGACATGATGGTGCAGGCCCTGCGTCAGCTGGCGTTTTTGTGTCCGCAGCTTCAGGGCTTGGACATGTATCGCTTTCCAGAGAAGTCTGCCGGGATCTTATTCAAGTTTTGTCTCGACGCTCTGAAGGAAATCACCTGTTGTGCCCAGGACGGTCTCAGAACTATCAGTCTGACAACTTTAGCGCATCTACCATCTCTATGCCGTCTCTCTCTCTCCGGTACACTGCCCAGCCATTTTTCTGAAATCGCAACCACATGTGATCGAGACATGTTTGCCGCCCTGGAGACACTCGACATGGAGTGGATAATGTACAATCAAGCTCTCGTACCTCTTCTACATTCTACCAGCTCTATCCAGTTTCACAGCCTTTTTGTATTGCTCGAACCATGTATTGAAGACGAGGACATCGAGGCCGTGCATCAAGCTGTTGACGCTCCCGCAAAATTATCAAGTCTGCGTAGCCTAACACTCATTGGAGACAGCGCGATAGGCCCAACATTCCCTCCGGAACCATTCTTGAAGCTTCACAGCCTCGAGGAACTCTACCTTAACATCCCCGGCTTTTTTCTGACAAGCCAAGGTATCAAAGCCCTTGGTCGAGCACTTGCCCAAGCTGCGGCACCTAGACGTGGAGAGCACCCTCCACTCCTGGTCACTAGATGCACTTGAGTGCTTCGCGACTCATCTGCCGATGCTAGAACAACTAACCACGGAAAATGACACGTCGACAGTTCCCACTCTCGGTGTACCGCTCGCACGGTCGCTCATCCCGATCAGCCTAATAGTTGCGTCCTCTCCTCTCCGCGAAGAGCACTGGTGGCATGCTGCGACTTACATCTCGCACGTGTACCCCAACGCGAGCTGCACCCTCAGCTATTCGGACGTTGATTCGAAGGGCAAGGACGAGGATGAGCGTCTCAATTCCAATCAGCTGTGTTGGCGTTATGTCAACAGAGCGATAGCTGCAGCTCGTACGAATCAAGGTGTGGAGAGCGGTTAGAGTGTAGTTCGCATTCTTGTCTGCCGAATGTCTGCATGAAAGTATAGCTTTCATAGACAGAAACACTGATAACATACACCCCGCCTATATCCTTGAATAAGGATAAAGACATCGCAATTAACAATACTGTTTAGCTATAAACCAAGGAAAATGCCTACCGTGCGGGCTCGGGTTCTTCATCGGCGTCCCAGCCCGACTTAGGCCGCTTGTCGGTGAGATCTGCCCTGTCGATCGCGTTCTGCTTGCTACCTAAGTAGTAGTTCGACATGACGAGCGCCGCGCAAGGAAGTGAGGTGATGTACGTCGCGGCAATGCAGGGGACCTTCATCGTATCGTCGTACGCGCCGATGATACCCTCGAGTATTGGCCATGGATGTGATGCTCCCAGTGATTTGACCGGGAACTCAGTGCTAGAAAAGTATTTCTATCCCTGCATTCTACCTCGGTGAAAAACGTCAGAGATACCTAATGACATCCACTGCACATCTTGTCCACTGCGCTCGAGCAGGTAACTGACAAGCTAAAGAACGCTGAGACAAACTCGGGGGGCCAAGTGCCTGGAGGATAATACTATACATCAAAGAGCGACGCGTATACAATGCATCGCATTGCATTAGCGAAGGTTCCGTAGCACGCATGTCGTACAGGCACAACATGAGGTAAGTGATATGATAATACATGCAGAAGAACGTCCGTGATAGAGATGCGCAACGTCTATGCAATGATGTGTGATGCCAGAGTCTGTCCGGATCGAGTTGGGGGCTATTACCGAGCTACCACTCTGAGAAGCCAGCAATCTTCCCGTCCCACGCCCACCAGATCATCTCCTCCTCCTCGCACACTTCTGCGCTCTCTCCGGCAACCGGCTCGTTTGGGTTGCTCCTGGCAAGCCGCGGCCCATCTTTGGGGCATACCCACACACCCTCGGTCTTCACGCCTGTCCGTATATATTTCTTTGGCTTCGGTGGTGTTCGAGATACAACCACAGCTGGGTCTTCGGCGGCATCGGAAGGGGGCACAACGACATCCTCGAGGAACGCGTCAAGCTGCGTGTCGAGCGTGCGCGTCAGGTTCTGTCGCGGGACCCATGCGGGATGCATGAAGCCGCGCGGGGCGCGGAGCAGCACGTGCATCTGTGTCGGCGCTGGCAGCCACCGCACCGAGTTAGCATACGCGCTGAATGGGCCACGGAATGGGACGCACCGAGCTCGGCCGATAGCCCGCCGTCCGCCTCGGCGCACGCATCGGCGAGCGTGCGCGAGAGCAGCCGATCTGCCGCGCGCAGAGCCTGTTGTTCCTCGTCCATGCTCTTCGCGGGCACCGCTGCGAGAGCTGGCCGCGACCTTGGCGCGGCTGGGCTTAGGGAGAGCGGCGTACCGAAGGTGCGCTGTCCAAGTGCGCGGCGCGCTAGCGGAGGAGTGTTTTCTGAGAGGGCGAGAGTCGACGGTCCGGCCGCTTCCCTTGCAACTGTCTTTGGGGTGAGAGGTGAGCTTGGTTTTGATTGACGAGAGGACAGGGGAGACATGTTCTCGGAGAGCGTGTGGCTGGAGGGAAGAGCTGTTCGCTTCTCGGCTAGTGGAGAGCTTGAACTCAGCGGTCGCATGAGCGTCAGGGGTGAGCCGTTCTCTAGCGTGGACTTGCTCGAGGTTTGCGGTGATGCACACGTGTCTTCGTCTATGAACGGCTTAATCGGCGGCGAGGGCTCTTCTGCCGGCGGCGGTGTCTTGAGATGCGCGTCTGGCGAGCGATTTGGTGACGGAGAGGGCGACGGCGAACGGGAAGGAGGTGGGGGTGTTGCGGTATCTTCATATTCTTCGTCACAGGCCTCGGAAGCGGAGTCTTCTGTGTCGCTCCCGCTCCCGCTATTGCTATCGTCGGCTGTGAAATATCTAGGTTGACACTCACCAGCAAACTGTGCCGCTTCAGCTTGTTTATCTTCAGTCTCCGCTACAGAGTTTTGTACCATGTGTGTAACCGGCTGCTTCCTCTCAAGCCCGTCCACAATGAACAGCACGCGAGCTTTAGCCGCTCCGACACTTGGCCCGAGAACGTAAGCCACACAGACGCGACCGGCACTAGGATCCTTTCCCGCAAAATCTTGATATCGCAGCCTCTTCTGCCGCTGTGCGAGAGCGGCTGAGAGCGTGATGAAGGTCGTCTGCAGATGGCTGGATAGCGTGTCCACAGCGTTGATTAGTTCTTCCCGTTTCTTGCCTGCGCGAGTGCCTGCTTGACTGCTCGGCATGCGCGACAGCTGTACAATGGGGCTTTTTGGAAGTCAGCACGCCTCGAACACGTGCGAGTCGAACCGGACTGCCACTCACAATGGGATCTGGCTCTTGAGGAAGAGCACATGACAGAGCACCGACGTTGCCAGACGAGCGGCCATGGCACTTGAAATTTCATCATATTCCAGCTTCACAGCTGGTACCGTCAACGTCGCCTGCTCCTCGTTGGGTGTGTCTTTCACCGCTGGTTTCGGTGGGCCGGACTTCGAAGGCTGCTCATCTCCTGTGTACACGTTGAATTTCGTCGTCGTGTGCAAAGGCTCCGGAGCAGAACTCGTCGGATTGAGCAGCATTGTTTCCTAGGAAATTGGTCGGTAGGCCGAGGAGATGGCGGACGTTGGTAAGAAGTGGATAAAACGAGGCTAAAATGCAGAATACAACTCGCCACGCGACTTCCGCGACGCGCCCATTTCGACGCAGGGTCACGTGAGCGGGTTTCGCGGCACTCCTGTCTGATAGCCGGAAATAGATCCCCCGCATGCTTTTCTCTTCCAAACCCCCATCTGTCTTATCTCCTCGACGTCGACCATAGCGGCGACGATCCAGCTGACGTCGTCGAAGGTCACCGACCTACACGATATTGTCTTCAGACTCAGTGGTGAAGATTGAATTCTCATCGTTATTGGCGACACGAAGATGACGCACACACGTCCGCCTGCGCTCTTCAGCGTGGCACGCATTGCAGCGCTTCTGACAGCGTTGCTAGTATCGCTGGGATCGGGGACAAATTATGTATGTCTCCTGTCTTCCTGGCCCCAGCGAAAGGATGGACTCACACCTCGCTAGGTCTTCTCCGGTACGCGATTCATCCACTCGGTAGGCTTCTCTGCAGCTGACTGTCTCAGCCTACGGCCCACAACTTTCGGCAAGATTGCACCTATCGCATACGCAGATGAATGTAGTGGGGTTGTCGGGAAATGGTGCGACGTCCCCTTCATGCACCCGCGTTTCAAGCTGAAACGTCGGCAGTCGGCGTATACGGCACAGCGCCGTTCTGGGGCTGGATTGTTGACCATCGCGGACCAAGATCACTACTCGCCCTGGCATTCGTAGCATTGCTAGCGGGATACTCTGGAATCCGCCATTTCTACGATGCAGGCCTACCAAACGGCGCGACGGACATCTCTACGCTTTCTTTCGTTGCGCTCGTTTTGTGCGGATTCTTGACCGGCATAGGGGGCAACGGTGGCCTAACGAGTGCTATTAATTCTTCAGCAAAGAGCTTTCCTGACCGGCTAGTGAGTTCGTTCGCGCGCATATATGCTGTATTTAACAAGTCTGCAGCGAGCGACGGTTGTCGGTCTTGTCATTTCTGGCTTCGGGCTCTCCGCATTCCTCTTCTCGACAATTGCACACGTTATCTACCCAGGAGACACCTCTGAGTTTCTGCTCGTGCTCGCCATTGGAACTTCCCTCCCTATGATCCTCGGCTTCTTCTTTGTGCGCCCGATACCCCTCCCGCACAGCGAGTACGCGCGACTTGACGAGGCTCCTGTGATTGTGGATGACGAGGACGAGTTCTCGTCTGCCTCGCCTGTAGTCTTCCGAAGGGAGAACAATAGCCAAACGCACCTGCTCGGCCGCGACGAAGACGGCTTCCTGGAGGAGGAACACCTCAATGCATCGTTTGAGCGGAGGCCCGAGCGGGAGGGGACAGATTATATTGTGCCGCCGTCGCGTGGAGCGCTGGCGTTAAGCCCGACGCGGACGGAAAGCAGCCGGCACCGCACACAGGGCTCGTTTTCGGGGTCGCGTCCTAGGGTCGACTATGGCGACGACAAGCTGTTAGGCGATACGCCAAACATCCGCGGCACGGCGCTCGCGTCGTCGGGGAACTTCTGGCTGCTGTTTGCCATGTGTTCGCTTCGTGAGTTCCTCTTCCTTACGCACATAAGGCTGCACGCCGACATACCCACAGTGAGCGGCACGGGCCTGATGTATATCAACAATGTCGGTTCGATCTCGCAGGCGCTGTTCGCGAAAGGTAACCCTGACTTTGACGACCGTAAAGCGGCGCAGTGGCAGGCAACGCAAGTGTCGATGGTCAGTATCACAAACTGTCTCGGACGCATCCTCATTGGTAAGTCGCGGATGGTGTTCAGCCTCCTCTCCTTCCTAATCGCGAATCGCTCTTCCCTGGCGATCAGGTATGATCGCCGACTCAACAAAGAACCATCTCCGGCTGCCACGCTCGCTCTGCATCTGCCTCGTCGCGGCGGCGTTCATCGTCTCGCAGGTTACTGTATACGCCGTTGACGATGTGCGGGACCTTTGGAAGGGCAGCGCTCTCCTAGGCCTTGCGTATGGCGGGCTGTTCGGACTGTTCCCGACGATTACGATTGAGTGGTTTGGACTGCGTGCGTAGTCCGTTTCACGATGCTCGGATCCGAACTGACAGACATCGGCAGCACACTTCTCAGAGAACTGGGGCTTCGTCTCGCTCGCGCCCATGTTCGGCGGGAACGTCTTCTCGATCATGTTTGGCCGCAACCTCGATGCACACGCGCCGTCAGAATCCGTCGCGAATGCTATGACCTCCGTGTTCAACGCCTCTGCACCGTTGCTCTCTGTGCGTGCGGGCACCGGCGCGCCCAGCGATTCGAGCCACCAGTGTCTGCAGGGCCGTGAATGCTATGTGGGAAGCCTGCTGATGACGATCGCCGCATGCACGCTCGCGCTTGCACTCAGTGTGTACGCCGGCTGGCGAGACTGGCACAGCAGCCGGCGAAGAGAGGGCTTCCTGAAGGCGAGGCATGTGCACGTACACGCAAGTGAGGTCGTTTGGGATGAAACGGAGGACTCTTAGATGGCGTGGAGACCAGATGCGGACGGATAGTGTATCATATAGATATTTTGGATATGATGCACAGGATTATCGCATAGAGTAGACAGTAGTCTACAAAATATTGGATTGGGTTTGGCACGATGCTTAGGAAGTCGCGTGAGTTTAATAACGTGAGTTGTAAAATGGCTACCTCAGTTTCAGCCGGCCGCCAAACGCGCGGCGCGGCGCCCATACATGGCTCGCGCCCCGACCGGATGTAATATTATTATAATAGTCGCCCTCGGCGGCGGTTTTGCTCTTGGCTAACCCGCATGCCCGCCCCCCCCCCCCACACGCGAGAGGCAACACACCGGATTGTTGATTCGACGCACTGAGCAAACCATCCGCGTCAGCACCGCTCGGACGGGGCCGAGCGAAACTGCGTCGGACTTCGAAAAACCGAAGTGTAGGGTTTCTTGCGTTCAGTATTCTACAGTTGCGGACAGGCAAACTCGACAATTTTGATGCCGTACGTAAGTCGATTTTTCTAGCTTCCGCAAGTTGTGTGAGATGTTGGGAAAACGCAGGAATGGACAGTAGAAGAGATTTGTGCGAGCGAAATCTCCCTCTGTGGACTTTTGGCGAAAAGACCTCGAAAATTTCGACGGCGCTTTAATAAATTAGTAAAAATAACAAAACAAATTCGACAAGTAGATTATGATTCAAATATTCATATTCAGCCCCCATCTTGTCCCAAATTCCAAATTGACCTTGGAAGGCGCCAATCTTGAAATGGCCTTAAGATAATCTTAAAGTGGCTTAAAGCCGGATTTTAAGTGCTTTTAAGGCCTTTAAAGGGCGTTGAAAGGATTTCGTTCTGCTTCCAAGGCACTTAAAGGGGAACGAAATGCTTAAAGCTCGAAATGGAATTTGGGACACTTGCGGAGCATTCACGCCAAAAATTTAATAGTGTATGCCTTTCCACAGGATTTTTTCAGATTCTAGAGTATAGTGCAGAGTGTAAACTGCAGTTTAAAATTTAATGGTACCAGTCTACTGTAGTACAACGCTCTGTGGAAAGGTAGATGATGTCGGAGGCAGTAAATATTGGCGCCCGATTGTGATTGAACGCCACGATCCACGTTTGGTCCTTGACGCCGAGGTTGAGCTCATGTAAAGAGCTCGCCAAAGCCTGTTACCTACCGCGCATACTCGCTCAACCATGAACACTCGCACTTCCCTGATCGACCAACTCTGTGGTCGAATCGTCAATCATTTGCCGCAAGACGACGGTATGGACTGGCCGGATGATGCTCGTGAATTGCGTGGCATACTAGACCAAGCTTCGATTCTACCTCCTTGGATTCATATCGTGCGTGAGATTCTTTGCTGTATTCTATGCACCCGGAACCCTTACATTATTCTGGCAGGGACCATATTCAGACGTGGACGACCACCTCCAATACCTGCTGGCGGAGCTTCGGCGCGCAGACGCATCAAGTGGGCACAACAGCATAATCAGCGACGAGCTGGCACCATCATTTAGCTCTGCACTCCGTGCATGCAATCTGGTCCGGTTGCAGTACCGCCAGTATAGGCATGACATCCTTTCACCCGATTACTCGACTGCTTTGGTCTACGCAATCATGTCGGCTTGCAGCCACATCGACCGCAAACTTCTCCTAGAGTGAGTGGGGTTTGCTCGGCTAGGAGCTGAAACCTGAACGCATCACAGAAATGATGCATGGTTAGCCATACCGCGGATTCCAGGCGCTCATCCAGCGATGCATTATGCTTGTGCCCCTGTGCAAATCCCCTTGGCAGTGGCAGTCTGCGCTGGCGATGTAGATATTTTTGACGTCCACCTACCGCAAGATAAGTCGTTTGAGGAAGGGTTACTTGGAGACCCGGCATACGTGGTGAATACGTCTGGAGAGATTCCGTGGTCACCGCACTCTGTGCACGTCTTCCGCCGGTGGCTACCATCAACGACCAGCCAGATCTGTGGCCACCCATTCCTGTGCATGGCGACGCTTCCGGAGCTGAAAATCTCTATGTCTGCCGTCCTGCATCAGCGTTGCATATGGGGCCTGTCACACCCAGTGATTGGCATCTCTTTAAGCCCAACATCGACTGAAATTGCCTTTATCCTCGGTTGGCACGACTTCGATCCTCAGAATCCTGCCTTTGTAAGTAATACGACTCGGGGGTGGCTTGATCTGATCAAATTGATGGGCAGCCGAGTATCCATATGTGTGACCTGGGCCCAAAACTTACTTTCGATCTCAACCATCCGCGAGACACTCTAGCCGCCTACAGAACAGTCTTGTCTCTACGTGGCCTCGCTCGAGACCTATATAACAGCGCTAATTCTCGAGCATATACCCTACGTCAACCCTTTTCTGCCCTTCATCAGTGGCGTGCAGATACCTTCAACTTCTTGTGGCCTACAGAGGATACGAATTCGAAGATTTCTCGTTGGCTTGAACAGAGCATCCCACCCACGGAATCTGAAATCATGGCTGAGGACCTACGACGTCAACTCCAGTAGCTCCCCACTTCTTCCTGTATTGTGTATTCGAGTCGCTTATGCCTGCTGGTCCTAGGGATACGACTCTGAAGGTGAAACTGGCCACCGCACTTAGCATGGTCAACGAGTAAGTAGCTATCCTTTTTCCCAGCGGCCTGTTACTGACTTATGTGCAGTGAAGGCTTTGGACATCTCTCAGAGAAGGAACGAGAAACTGTGGAGAAGCTGTCGATGTTGCTGAAGATGTCCGTCCTTTATTACTCTCTTATCTGTACTGTGCTCACGAGAAATCTGCTCAGGGACCCCAGCTCATCGGAGGACTTTGCAAAATTCATGGAATTTTCTTCCCAGCTTTCTGTCTCTAAGTGAGCCTCTTCACATCATCGCTGCAGACAAGCCATCGAACACCCTTGATTTTCGCAGCGGATCCATGAAATCGGTTACTAGCACTGAAAACTGGCTCATCAACCACTGGTTGTTGGACCGATATTCTTTCACTACATCTGCTGCGGCGAATAGAACACACTGGAACACCCTCCGACGTTATACCCGCATATACTGGCCTAAAGATTTGCTGGCCTTTGTAAGTCCCATTCACGGCATCAGATGTGACATCTGGCTGACGCTTTTATGGAGGACGAACAGAGGCAGAGGTGGACGCTCGCGGCAGACTCCGGATTGACCCTGCAGGAAGAGTACCTCGAAGACTTCGAGGAGATTTTCTCCGCACTGAGCGCATATAAGGCGATGCATCCTGAGCTCGTGTACGAGTTCTCCCTCAAGGACAAGGCTTACCCTCCCGACATTGATGCTGCCGAGCTGGAACCATACCTCCGCAAAGCCCTTCCCATGATCATCGAGACATATGGCATGCTTCGCTCTATATCAAACAAAGTGGACAGTCGGGACGCTGTCAATGAAGCGACATGGCGAGTTCCCATTGACGCACTACACATGAACCTTTTCAGCAATAAGAAGCACGCATTCAGGGGCGAGCTCCGAAACCTCACCGGTTGGACAAGTGCGAGAGTGAAGGCGGACGGAAATGACCAGTAAGTGCAACTTTCCACCGCGTGCCATGGCACTCAGCAACGATCAGGATGGAACGCACTTTGAAGCTTCCGTTGAATCTGGCCTACCACCGCCATCTTGATCAGGGCGACAAGCACCGCGTGTACTGGGGGCTACAGCTGCACGACCGCATCGCAGAGGAGAATAGAGGCGTTCACTTGCTACGTCTGGTGGATCGGCTGGCACCCCTCCTTGGCAGCAATCGCAAGGACGACATCCCGAAAGAAGAAATGGTAGTCGGTCCAGAGAGGGCCAGCGCCGTGGGGGGGAAAATGAGAGCAGCCAGAGACGAGGAAGCATTGAAGGACAGCGCAAACGCCCGAGAGTATGCATGTGTCCAAACCATCGCAGCCCGCACCAATAACTGGTATAGGCTCTTAGATGAAGTTCACGTCCTTTACCGGGCTGCGCTCTTGGGAAGCACAGCAGTAGCTGATGCGATGGCTTACGTCCGCCTTCCTGTTCAGATTCCCAAGGATCGACTGAACAAGTTCGCTCTCTCCAGCATCTCTTCTAAATCTGCCACAGATGAGCAGCAGCTCGCCCTTCCGCCTGAGAGGACAAGCGCGTCAGGGGACATAGTGCAGGGTAGCAGGCAGGAAGGGATGAAAGACGAGCCAAAGAGTCCAGGCGGGACGAGAGAAATAACCCACAACAAACCGGATCCACTGCTCGCGGACATTGACGCTTCTCACTGGGATCCAGACCTTGAGTTCGCCGCTCAGACTTCGGAGGAGCGCAACCCTCCCCTACCCATCGGGACAAATTATCTGCACCTTCCCGTCCTCATTGCCGAATGGAAGAAGCAAGAAGGCGATGTCCGCCAGGCCGTCAACCAGCACTACGTCAACCATACCTCCGCAGCGCGGTTCCTCGAAGCATGTGGCATCGTCAACTTCCCCATCTTCGGAATGATGTCCAACGGCCCTGTTATCACCCTCGACTATGCATACACAGGCAACAATATCCGGCCCTCCGAGTTCGACGAGCCGGACATGGAGCGACCCGTGCTCATCTGCGACCGTCACGGCATCAAGTTCGATCTGCTGAAACCCATGGGTATCTGGCGCATCGCTACGACCATCATCTCTCTCAACCGACTGCACGTGCCGAGGCTTATGGAGGAGTGGCAGTCGGCCGAGGAACAGTTCCGCAAGTTGCCGACAAGTGGTCCAGACGACCCTCGCTGGCTGCACGGGTGGGATCTGCACAAGGAAGGCAAACTGCCCGAATGGACCGTCCCACAGTCAGACGTGAGGACGGAGATAGAGGAGAGGGTCAAGCAGCTCAGAGCCAAATACGAGGAGAACCCGCCGCCACGGGCCCACGTCTTGGAACGTCTTGCAAAGGTGGAGAAGATCGTGAAGACCCGCACGAACAGCCCTTCTGGCACCGGAGGGAGGAAAGCCGGCCAAAGGGCTTCGCCAGTCCAGGAATAAGATCCCCTCCTGATATTGTAACCCATGATTGCCGTTCGCCATAGTGTCAGATTACATAAAGTCTCTGCGAGAATTTCAGTACGATGGTTGAGAGATAGGTTCGTAACCGAGCGTGACCCCAACATTGACAAGTTGCATGAACCGTCCCGGTGAAGGGTTATGTCAGATCCTTCTTAGCATGAGGTTGAGGGTACGAGGAACCTCACACATTAACAGCCGATAGAACACGAAGCTGAAATCAAATCTGCAGGCCGCTCTGGGTTATTGCGGCTCCCATACCCCAGCCGCTCAAATCCACCGTGTATACGGCAATGTGAAAGTTTATTACAGAGGCTTACAAAAGAGGTGGTCCGTGAGAATCTCAGATCGTGAAACTCGGTAACTTTAAGGCGTGGTGCGGAATCCCATGAGGAACTCCATGATCTGGAACGCAGCCTGTAAAGCAACACTGTCAGCAGTCATGATGCTGCAAGTGTCAAAGGTCGACGTACCCTTGGAGAGAACTGCGGCACCCTACGAGAGCAAGTCCACAATCAGCACGCACGTTCGGTGTCGCGAGACGCTGTGGAAAATGGAGGGTGACGTACATGTGGCCGCTGAGCGCGACTTCGTAATACGTGAGCCCGCGCTCGGAGTGCATGTTGCCGAGCGCGCCCATGCCGTCGACGACGAAGCTGTCTTCCTCGATCGGGGTCTGGAAGCCCTGCAGGCCGTTCCCTGCAAACTAAATCAGCACCAGCACAAGAGGCAGCATATCGAGGAGTGCACGCACAGGTCATACTAGTAGGCAGTTTTCCGGTCAGACGCTGCACATATGCCAAGACGCGGGGTACACTCACTTTTGAATGACGACACGGGTGCCCTCCGAGATGAGGATGTAGTCCGCGAGGCCGTGTACGATAACCGCGCGCTCACTCTTCTCGATGATGTTCGGCAGTACGGTGAACGACGGCGGGCTGCCGTCGCCGTGTGGGAAGACGTTGATGTTCGAGCACTCGGTCCAGGTGACGTTCACCGGCGCGTGAATCGCCTGCTTCACATCCGTGCGGTCGAAATAGATCGGTGAGACTTGCACCTGCTCGAAGGAGCCCGGGAAGCCGAGGACGTCCCACAGAATCGGCCACTGTTGTACGCACATGTCAGTCGTATGCGGGAACGAGGGAGGGGAAAGGGAGTGTGGAGAAACGCACAGTGTCGAAGATGCGATAGATATTGAACGCCGGGTTCACGAGCAGCGCGGCGTCGAAGATCTGCTCCCACAGCCGGCAGCCACGGGCGCCCTCGGTGTTGTTGCCGGGGATCGGGAGCGGGCCCTTTGGCGGGAAGGTCACGAAGGTGTCGCTGTAGTTGGTGTACCCGCACGAGTCTGCGAGAGATTGGATTTGGGCCATATAAGTTTCGCTATTTCATAGAGTAAGGATCTGAGAGATAAAAAGGGGATATAGTATGCGTACTTGAGCGAGAAGACGCCCTTGTACTTGTTGACGAAGTTTACGGCGGGCATCTCCTCTTGGATGACGTCGTAACCAATCGAAGCTAGGGAAGACCGTGCTTAGCGCCAGTTAGGCTGGATTCAATCGCCTGGCACGTACGATCCGAGATCCAGAAGCCCCTGGTATTGAGATCGAGGACACCAGGATTTTCATAGATGTAGTTCGTGATGTCTAATTCTAGGCTCAGGGGCAGATCGCGCAGTGCGGAGAGATGAGCTTACAGGGCACATACATCCCGGCGTACTAAAAGACAAGATTAGCTTTGTGATAGCGTGAACTAAGTCACTTACGCTTTCTCCCGTCAGGTAAAAGTTCTTTCCCTTGAGCTCGGAAAAGACTTCAAGGAATTGCTGCATGAAGCCAACGAATTGTTCGGCAAGGTCATCTTCATTCTGTTGCGCACGTCAATGCCCGCTCTGATTGCAGAACTCCGAATACATACCCGAATGTTGGGTGTTCCCTGAGAGAAACCGGTCCCGACAGGCTGCTCGACGAACAAGATGCTGGAGAGGTTCGTCCAGCTGAACTGGTTCTGCGTCGGCATTGCCTGACCGTAGCTCCAGCTGAAAGGCTACATAACATGTATCAGTCAGGACTCAACGCAGAAGGCGGCGGTGGGCCTTACGCCGTTTTCTTGCAAGAGGCCTTCAAGCGAGGAGCATCCGGGGCCACCATTTGTCCTGTTCGGTGATTCAGAATTCAAACGAGGAATGGAAGATGCTGCGCGAAGTACCAGAAGATGAGGTCGTCCAGGCTTCCTTGGGGGCCAGGCGGGAAGAACCAGAAGAAGAGCTGCGGAAATTGGGTGATATATTAAACGGAGATCGTAATTGGGAAGTAAGGAAGACGCCAACCTGGCGCGTTTCGTTGGTAGCATTGCTAATCGGCAGAAGACCTGCCCAGCTGGGGCCGATGTCGAAGTTGACTTCGGGAATACTCGTGCCGTCGACGTAAAACGCTGCGGATATGACTCAACACAGCACTCTCTCGCTCTCGTGATGCAACGTACCAGACGCCTTTGGGTTGGAGAACGTGATGTTTTTGACGCCAGTGCTGCTTTGACCCTGTCCGGACGCGGCGAGGGTGGCGAGGCGTTGCGCAGCGGCGGCCTGCTTCGCCTGCATGTCCACCTTGGACATCATGCGTGCATTCGCGGAGAACACCTGCAGCAGCAGCGCCGCAGACACAGTTGTCCAAAGGCGGGCGAACATCCTGTCGTGCGATGGGGTGAGGACGAGGAACTGGGGCTTGCTCACGATGGTGGCGAGTATTTATGCTTTTCCGACGAGCTTCCGCTGCCATACGAACAGCCATGAACGGCATCGAGATGATATCGTTGGGATCATTCGCTAAGGAAGTCCAAGATGGCAGAAGCGGCACCGAACTGCGTCAACGCGTGCACATGCCTGCACATCAGCACCCGACGCCCGCAGAGCCGAGGCCATGTCTCTGTTTTCCTGGATATCGTCGTGACCATGATCTACCAGGCTCTGTACCTTGGGTATACACCGTACACTGAAATGTGGCGCTTGGGCACCCATGGGGCCAGGCGTTTTATTCTGCGCGAGCATTGGGCACGGATGAATGATTAACGACCTGGGAAAACGAGTCAGAGTTGTGCTGGCAGATGCACTCGGGTCGTTTGGCATCTTCGGGCCCAGGACCCTGTCGAAAACGACCGCACACATGTGGACTTGGTGTGGAGAAGCAATCTGGCGATGAGCCTATACTGGGTGCATTCCCGCAGCAATCTGAAGCGCTTTGCAGAGCAGGGTTGTTTTCAACGCCTGGCGATGATGCCTGCCCCCTGGATGAGTTTTGTCGGCATGTGCGAGTGTCAACGTGCCATCCTCCGCTTGATGGCTGCCGTCAACGAAGACGTCAAAAATTTGACCTCCGATCTGTATTCGCAAACGCAGATTTCGCTGCGGAAAGACATCAACTCCTGGTACAGGAACGAGGACACCACGTATCGTGAGTGTAGGAGACGCAAAAACGGGCATGTTCTAAACGTAAGTGCGGTCGTATGATCGAGCGCAACATGGCGGGAGAGCGATACCGAGTTATCGTGATATCTCATGGCTTATTGAGATAGTAGACACTCACGAGTGCTCCGAACAACAGACGGCGCCGGCTTCTGTGCATACGGTCGGGAGCTGCTGAAGTCAATTGAACGAATTCGAAGGAAAGAAGTGGGGAGCAGAAAGTACAGTAATCGGAGCGACCACCACGGCCGGCAAGTTGCGTTGCAGCAGAATCTGCACTACATAGTACTTTGAAAGCCGACCCGCCTACACTTCCAATCCTCTGCGGCACATCAAAGTGTAAGAATAAACGTTTCTGTAATTTCTAGACAACTCCAGCCATTCTCGCCGTCGGCAGATGCTGACGTTGAACATCGTAAATGATTGTAAGGGTGTCGCGTACCCGCCCGCTGCGAACGCCTATTAAATTGATGCGCCGTGCGCTCTTTGATGCGTTTGCGGTCAAGGTTCCGATCCCCCTGCCCCCATTGCTCAGTGGGCTCGATCTAACATCATCTATTTAAGCAACCGTGTCGTCCACTGTCTGTATCAGGAAGTGCCGCAATGGCAAAGGGTTAGGGTTCATCGTGACGGTGACATAGTGACAGGCTATCAGGCGCGATGTGACAGGCGTGATGTCGCGTAATTCAACGCAAGGCGCGTCACGCCCTACCTTTCGCTCGACCTTCAGCATCGCCCGCTGCACTTATACCTATCCCGCTTCTCCTGCTTGCAGTCGAGTGTAGTTTGGAGGTCAGGATGCCTCCAAAGTCGACGAAAGCAACCGCAAAGGCTGTAGGGAGCAAGGACATTCGTGGCTTCTTTGGGACCACAGAGAGCAGCCAGACGACGCCATCGAGCTCGGCGGCGAAGGTACGCGATCCACCATCAATACACTGGAAATAGTGTTTAAATTATGTTTAGAATGGCGCGACACGCTTGAAAGCTATTGAACTTAGTGAGTAATAAGTCCAGGAGGCGGCCAATGTAGCTTACACAACACGGGCAGGCGACAACGAAGATGATAGGCGAGTATTGGAAGCACATTTCGCGAAAGTATTCTAAATGCTCATTCAGAACTGCGAGAGCTGCTTCGATGTACGCATGCCACTGGATGTCTTGCTCAGCGACCCGCTAATAGTGTGCCTTAGACCAAAGCCTAAAGCGGCAGCGTCTGTCCAAGCTCCGGTTAGCTTTCCGCTCCCTTCGTCCTACAACCAATGTCCTGATTACTGTTAATGGCTACAGAAGCCCAAAAGTGAGCGTGTAATGGACTCAGACGATCAACCAGTAGTCACAAAGTCCGTGACGAAACGCAAGAAACCTTCTGCGCTGCTCTCAAGTGACGAGGACGAGGAACCCAGGTCGCCACCAAAGAAGAAGATTGCTGTCTCACCATCGTCGTCTAACTCTGCCTCCGCGTCGAAGCCCCAGACGAAGCCCGCCGCAAAGCATGCAGCAAAGCATGCCCCTCAGCCCAAGGCGAAGAAGGAAAGCAGACCTGCGGCGCGAAAGGTGCTTACGAAGCGCAGAGACGAAGATTTTATTGCGTCGTCAAGCTCAGAGGAATTCTCGGAAGATGGATATGAGGACGAAGACGAGGACGAGAAGCCTTTCAAGGGCAAGGGCAAAGGGAAAACGGCACCGAAGAAAGCTGCTGCGTCCACTAAGACGAGAACGACGCCGTCTAAAGTGACACCTGCAAAAACTGCAGGCAAGCCAAAAGAAGAGCCGGAGGGAGAAAAGAAGCCCAAGTTCAAGTGCGTGCACCGCACCTTGGTCCGAGAGGTGGGACACTGACCGTGTGGTGTGGTAGCTGGGCGGCAAAGGCGGCCAAGATGGCTGCGGGCCCTTCAGCACCGGGTTCGAAGCCTGTACCAGCGGCGAAGGACTCGAACTGCCTTGCAGGGCTATCGTTCGTGTTCACGGGCGAGCTGAGTGCGTTCTCCCGTGAGGAAGCTACTGACCTTGCGAAGCGGTTTGGCGGGTGCGTCGATCCCAGCCTCTCCTTGGTTCCATACGTATTCACGATTGGTGCAGGCGCGTTGTCAGCCAGCCGTCGTCCCGAACCGACTATGTCGTCCTCGGCGCCGACGCGGGGCCGTCCAAACTTGCAGCGATCAAAAAGAACAACTTGAAGACTCTTGACGAGGATGGGTTTCTCAATCTCATCGCGACTCGTGTCCCAGATTATACTGACGACAAGCTGAAGAAGAAGATCGAGAAGGAGCAGGATGCGATTCGTGCGGCCGCGAACGAGCTGGAGCGCCGCGAGAAAGAGATAGAAAAGAAAGTGAAGGGCAAGGAGAAGGGCAAGGACCAGATCAGGTCAGTAACGTCCAGCTGTTTTGTGTGCGTCCTCCAATGCTAATTCCGAACGCGCAGTAATACTGTTCCTCTGGGTAGTCAGCTGTGGGTAGACCGCTATTCGCCACACACGCTCAAAGAGGTTTGCGGCAACAAGGGGCAGATTGAGAAGCTGCAGCAGTGGCTGAATGACTGGTACGTCTGTCCTTGCTGTGAGTCGCATGCGTACCCACAATGTCGACTATCACCAGGCCGTCGAGTCTCAAGTCCGGATTCAAGAAGCCGGGAAAGAACGCGATGAACACGTCGCGCGCGGTACTCATCACGGGCCCGCCAGGTATCGGCAAAACGACTGCGGCGCACCTGTGCGCGAAGTTGGCAGGATTCACACCCATTGAGCTGAACGCGAGTGACGCGCGGAGCAAAAGGCTCGTGGAGAACAGCACGAATGTCTCGAATACGAGCTTGGACGGGTGGATGCACGGGACTGAGGTGGGCAACGGCACGTGTTTAGACCATGGCGCAGTGCTGATGGCAGAGCAGGCGACGAATGCAGCTGGCGTGAAGATCACGGACAAGAGCTGTCTGATCATGGACGAGGTCGACGGCATGTCGGCAGGCGATCGCGGGGGTGTCGTTGCGCTCGTTGCGCTGATACGAAAGACCAAGGTAGGCCCTTTTTGCACTAAATATACACGCTGATAACAGACTGGACATAGATTCCTATCATCTGTATTGCCAACGACAGGGGTGCGCAAAAACTTAAGCCGCTCATCGCAAATGCGTTCAACCTGCCATTCAGGAGGCCCGAGGCGGCGGCGATTCGGTCGAGGCTGCTCACAATTGCATTCAAGTCAGTGATTATGCGTCGTTCAATTTGCTTTGGTGTTCATATGAATTTGTCTGCGTCAAGGGAGAAGATGAAAGTCCCAGCGAATGTGATTGACCAGCTCGTGATGGGTGCGCAGTCCGATATCCGGCAGGTGCTTAACATGCTGTCGACTTGGAAGCTTTCGAACAACGCTATAGATTTCGATCAAGGAAAGGACCTGTGAGTGCTCGTCGTATTCTCATCGAGTCGATACTGAACGAGTGGGAATGACAGATCGAAGATGAACGAGAAATATACGGTGCTGACGCCGTTCGATGTCACGTACAAGATGCTGGGCCCGTACATGTTTAGCGCGACAGCGCGCGAGACGCTGGGAGATAAGATGGAGCTCTACTTTCACGACCCGTCATTTGTGCCGCTGTTCATGCAGGTGCGCCGTGCCGCGTGTCTGTAGGGATATAGTGCTTAGTGTGCTGCCACTGTAGGAAAACTACCTGAAGACGCAGCCATCGCGGATCAAGAACGACGCGGGACCCGAGAAGACGCTTAAACACCTTGAACTCATGGACAAGGCGGCATCGTCACTCTCCGACGGAGACCTGGTCGATGCGCTGATCCATGGGTAAGTTCATGGTCTTCACCCTAGAGAGTGGCGCTAACGCATCTCTCTAGTCCAGAGCAGCACTGGTCACTGATGCCGCTACACGCAGTATGCTCTACAATACGACCTGCATCTTTCTTGTACGGCTCAGGTGGTGGGTATGGAGGACAGAACCCAATGAGCTTCCCTGCGTAGGTCGTGGAATGTTTCTACAACGATGTAGTGCTGACGCAATGATGTGCAGATGGCTGGGACAGAACTCGAAGCAGAGCAAGCTGAACAGGGAGCTTATGGACATGCAGGCGCGGATGCGGCTGAAAGTCTCGTCGGACAGGCACGAGCTCCGACAGTCATACATACCTGCACTGTTCCCGTATGTCGTCAAGCCACTGATGGACGAGGGTGTGGTGAGTGTTTTGCGCATCACTGACCAACGTACATGACCGACAAACACTTCCCATACAGAGTGCGGTGGGCACGGTGATTACGCGGATGGACGACTACTTCCTGAACAGAGATGACTGGGACACGCTTGTCGAGCTCGGATTGGATGAATACAAGGACGAGGTGGTGCTGAAGAAGATCACGCCGGCGACGAAGACAGGGCTGACGCGGAAGTACAATGCCGCAGATCACCCGATTGCGTTCCACAAGGCAACGGACCTGGGCAAAGTGCCAAAGAAGCTCGCGGCGCAAGGTCCTGCGCCAGATCTGGAAGAGGCGTTCGAGGTCGATGAGGATGTGCCTGAGGAGGCCGAAGGAGCGGCTGGCGCAACAGAGGACGAGAATGTGAGCAAGGACAGTCTAATTAAGATGCCCAAGAAGGGAAAGGGCGCTGCAGTAGCTGCGAAAGGGAAGGCCAAAACGAAGGCGAGGAGGCCATGAGCTCTTGCACTTTACGCTTATCTTCCTCTTGTGCACACTTTTGTATCGGACTTGTATAATGTCGTCTATCTTACGCCTGCGTCTGCTCGCTAGCAAAGCATGTCAATGAGCTTGAGCAAATCAGTGCGTCTAGGTCTGTAATTAATGTTGGTTTCATGATTACGGCAGGCTGCTTTACTTATGATTGGAAGAGGTCTGAAATAATTTACACATCTGCGTATAATTCAGCTTCGGCCTCAGCTTCAGTTTCAGCCTCAGCTTCGAGTTGTTCTTCGGCCTTGGCTTCATCCTCGGGTGTTACAGCTGCGTCAGCCTTCTTTCTCAATATCTCCTCTACCCATATCAACGTCTTCTGCTTCTTCATACCTAGTTCACTTGTATCTTTGGCATACTGCGGCTTCAGCTTTTCGAGCTCGGCAATGATCTGCATCTTTTGTTTGCCTGGTGTTATCGTCCACTGTGGAAGCTCGCGCAGTTCCTTGGGTGCGCCCGGTTTGATGTGATGGTAACCGTGCAATCGCTCGGGGCAGTGTTTAGCGTGGGCATCTTGTTGTAGAGCACATCAGCCGCGGCTTTCCATTTCTCCAGTAGTTTTGGTACGTGGAGGCGGTTAATAGAGAAGATGGTAGAAGCGAACCGCCAGATGCCCATGGAGTTCTCAAGGTCGAACTTGAACGCGTTGCGGTCGCAGATGATGACAAAGGGGTCATCCTCGCTTCTCTCAGGCGGAGAAGCGTACGCGTAGTCGAGGAGGAGCACAGGCCCGCTCGATCGCAGCCCAAAGAGCGGTATGTCCGTGATACCGCAGGCTTGCAAGAATCTCACCCCAGCGACATGGTTGATATAGTGCTGGTTTGCCGCCTGCTCGCCGCTAACGCTCTCTTTCTTCCACTCCGCAATAAGCAACGGGAGGCTCAACAAGTTCGCGGGATGGCCGGAAGCGGAGTGTTCATCGGCTTTATCTTTGAGAGACGTGATGTCGGGAGTATAATGCGTTGACTCTATCAACGCGAAGAGATTAGCCGGGTTCCTTGTAGGTTTCGTACCGCTCGCCGCTGCCTTAGTTTGAGGGATAGGCGACAGACTGGCAAGCGCAAATTGCCCCAGCAATTTCACGGGTGCGCGGACAGGGACCCGGAGATACGCGAAAGCATCGCATACGGCAAAGTTTCCCAAAACGCCGGCGCGGTACAAGATGCGGAGGTTGTCGAGATTACGATGCCACCTGACGGCTCGCGACTTCACCTCTGACGCACATGCCATCTCGTTGTCTTCCGCCTTCTCTAACCATTGCTTCTCGGGATCCCAGAGGTCAGGAGGCTCAAGTTTCGCGGACGTGTCACGGTCGTCAGCAGTGCCTGTATGCTCGTCTGCTCCATCCGGCGCCACGGGGGGCTTGTAGAGAGGAGCCAAACGTTTTAGGCGACTCGTAACATCCATTTGATGGGAATAGTAAGTCTCGCGCTCGGTCCTTTGAACAAGCTTCATGCCCCATTTCTTCAGCGTCTCCGGGGTACCAGACGAACGGTGAAGCATGGACAGGCTACATGGGAGTTTGAGAGCACGTTCCGTCCTGGTAAAACATTTAGTTGAGAAACTATCCATGCATTTAATGAACTCACTGCTCGTTTCCTTCTGCTTGACCCGACACGTACCCCGTGAGCTTCACCAAAAACTCCTGAGTGCTGTGAATAAAGAGGTGCATAAGCAGACCATCTATCGGCACACGCCAGGTCGCCTCGTTCACCGGCTCGTGACGCCGCTCTTTCGAACGAATGGCGCGGAGCATGGCGTAGGTGTCGAGGACCCGCGGCAGCGCCTGGCGGAGGCGACGCTCGAGCTCGGCTTCCTCCTCATCTCCAAGACGGGTGATCTCCTTCACTAACGCAGGGTGCGCTCGCTTGAAGATGCCTAGGGATGTGAATATGTCTTCGAAGTCAGCAAGTGAGTCCGGATCAGGCACGGAAATCAGGCTTCCTTCCGCCAGAGTCCATCTCTGCCTGCTGTCGTCCTACGATAGCGTGAGCCGGGAGTATAGATCTAGACACCAGTGGCATACGTAGGACAACCACTCCTTTGGCCAATAAATCTGAGTGTACTCTAAGAGACTATCCCAGTGTTCCCCGTTTGATGCAGTGGATGCAGTGAGTGCGTTGCGATCAAGTAACCAGTGGTTGACAAGATAGTTGTCATCGAGTTCTGTCGAACGCTTGGACGCCCTGAGGGTGGTGTGGTTAAAATCTAGCTTCGATAAATCGTCCATGTGGCACTTACCTGGAGGCAGACAGACGTGATGCCTGATCCATAAAAAGGAAATCCTTCTCGAGCGTCTTCTCTGACTTCCTCGATGCTGACCCCAAGCTCCGGGATCTCCTTCCCCTGTTCATATCTTCAGCTCGAACATGAAAGCATACAAAGGAATATGACCCGCCTAGCACTATCGCTCTGGCTCCTTTCCCCACGACCCCGCTCTGATGACGGATACCTGAAAATCATGTCGATCTCAGTCTTGTACAACTATTTAGGAATTTACCTCTTGCGACTGCTTGCACCATCCTCGTCTTCTAGATTTAGCTGCCTGGTACCGTAGGAGTGAGCGAATATCTTGGATTGCCCAATTAGAACATACGCACTGTACTTGATCTTCCAAGTTATCTGTCATGGCGCCTGAAACGCCTTTGGGTCCAGTGAGAGCTCTATGGGGTGGAGCTGAGCTCTCAAGCCAACAGGAGATCCTGCGATTCGCGTCCTCTGAGGGATATAGAAGGCCGAACGCATCAGCCCTCCATTGTTCCCAGATGGGAATAGGATTGCGGAGTATGGACAAGTCAGATGCGGCGCTGTGTCGGAGATTACAGACGAAGTCACGCAGGAGAATAATTGTGTGGAATACTGATAGAGCGCCCTCGGGACTGATGAGATCGAAGGTTAGTGCCTCTGGTGAACAGATGTGTATATGAGGCTATGAGGAGGCTATCATGAGAAGGTGAGTATTGAAGAAGGCGTGCTTTTACTTACAAAATTATGTTCTGTGTAATTCTCTGTGTACCAACCAAATACAAAGGAGATCTCAGTCGAAGAAGGGCTGTGAAGAACGCCAATTACAGGATGCGGCAGACCCCACGTATGTCGTTGGTGAAGGATGGCCGACATAGCAATCCAAAGAGTGGGTGGCGTGCCCATACATAAGAACGGGATACCACAGACATTCTCGGCCATCGAGGGTTTCCAGCGCCGGAAGACATGAGCCGAGGATGGAGGATCGGCCGTGTCATGTGACGAGTACGTCCGACACGCCGAGTTCAGGATCAGGGTTGGCTCTAAATCTGCATCGCATAGATGGCTTAGTTCAAAGGTGTCAGTGTCACCAACGCATACCGCGGCGACCAGAGGTATCTGCAGCGCAGGACACACGTAGTGCATGGCCGAATGTACACCAGGAATTCGCGGCATGGCAATCCATGCATCGCTTCTGTGGTAGTTTTTGAGCATCTAGCTGCGTGGTAAAAAGTGAGAGCTCACTCTAAGACTATCTGCCGATCTGTATGAAGGCAAGCAGACATGATTGCATAAACGACAGCCGTCGTGAGGCCAGGGCGAAGCGAACCATCGAGATCCTGGAAGCGCTGGTTGCGGACGAGGTCGCATACATGCAGGGCGGAGTTGAGCACAGCTGCCATTCCTCTGCGGTTGCCACTACCGCCATCCGATGAACCTCCAGAAAGTTCCGTCAGCAGGTATCGCACGTGAGCGTCCACCTCGGGATATGACCGCTGTCGATCTCGTTGAGAAATTTGTCTTAAAAATATGAAGAATAGCTCACGTACAGCATATATCCACTGCGGACAAGTTAATCCTTGGAGCAGCACATTGCGCAACTCGCGTGCCGGACCGGGCCAATTTGCCCCTTGTTCCTCTAGAGAGTGATAGGTGATCCGTTTGCATGACTCCAGGATTATGAGACTGCGTGCATTCATGAGTATGGAGAATTAAGGATGATGGCGAGGACTATATGCCAGCGACTTCTTATCCCTATGTTCACTATTCGTGTTCAAAATTGAAAAGGGGTTGGCCTGTGGCGCTTGATCTCATCCAGACTGATGGCTCCGAGGTCAATGGCGTGGGAACTCCTCCAGATTTCTTTTCTCTATCTGTGATTTCAGGCATTGTAGAAGGGTCAAAGGCCAGAGGCCAGACCTCAAAAACGGGTACCCACGATCAGGGAAAGGCGAATAGGCTCGCTGCTGCTTTCGGGGTCCAAGGTCAGTGACAACACTGATCGCATCACTTGCCCAGACCCCGAACATATCAGCCGTTTCTGGAAACTCTTACACTTGTTTGATATAAATTCGGCTGAGCAGGGCGACCAAGGCCGCAGGCCGCAGTGCGCAGTGATTCCGGGAGCAGAGCTTTGACACTGCGCTGGTCCTCAGCTTGAGCTCAACATGCGACGTTCAACATCAGTCGCGTATCCGACATTAACTATCTCGCCCAAAATGATTACATGTTTACACGGCGGTATGCTGGTACTTTCTCAATCCTGTAGAATGAGGTCGGACCTCGACCTCCCAAGCTTGAAGTTCTCAATATTAATGCGAGTGTGGATCCTGCCAGTGTACTTCGGCCGCTCGGACACGAAGTGACAGGCGATTCATGCTCTCGTATCTGTGTAACAAATTTGCCCCGCCGCTGCCCCCACAAAACCCATCGTTGATGCGGGAGCAGTGCTCGAGTGGCCATGCTAGAGATGAGGTTTATTCGCATAGGCATTAAGAACGAGTGAGGAGCTTGAACAGCGGGTTAATGAAAGAATTCGTCAGATGCGACGAGACTCCTGCTCTCGGATAAACGTTGGCCCTTTAGCTTCGAATGAAAGCTTCCCATGGCCATACGCCTACCTTACTCCGGAGCACGACCTATACGTTCTTGAATTTGGTACTTAAACTTGCCCTGCCTATACCCGTGCAGCCAAGACAAGTCATCCCGAGTACTATACAAAGTCTGACTCAGAAGATATCATTGGATTTTATCATAGTATTATTTTAATTCTAGTTTTGGAGCCAATGAAGTTGAGGCCTCGACATTCGGCGCGGCTGAGCACAGAGCGCACTGAATGGTTACAATATAATATATATAATCACCGACGCTTTCCCGTATTTGTAAGCGGTACTGTACGTCAGAGCGCGTCAATTTCTGTGCACCTTCAACTTGCGCTTTACCGTATCCGGGCGTGGAAGGTCGATATGCCACCGAGATTGAACAAGCGGCAGCTACGTGAACTTGAAGAATTACAGGCTTTGGAAGTAAGACCTGAGGTCAACGCAGAGGAAGAAGACGCTCAAGACGAGGAACCAAGTCCACTTCCAAAAAAGACGACCGGAAGTTTTGCAGCGGTGCGTCGTCTTTAGTCGTAAAATCATGGAGCTTCTAAATGGGTAGTACGCCAGCTGATGGCTACCGATGAGGGCGACGATGAAGAGAGTGAAGAAGAAGAGGTATCGCGTGTGACCAAGTCCAAGAAGGCTAGTAAGCCGTGTCCCTGAGTTCTATGCTGACAGAGAGGCTAATATTTTCTCTCTCAGAAAAAGAAAAAGAAGAAAGCATCTGGAGTATCTGCCGCAGCTGAACCCTCTACCCCCGTCGCATCCGCCAGAAACGCACCCGCGAAGCCCTCCCCCGCAGCCACGGAGGAGGGTACGTTAACAAGCATGTCTAAGAAGGATAAGAAGGCTCTCAAGAAGCAAAAAGCTAAGGCTGCGAAAGAGGAAGGTGATGAGCTCGATAGAGCACTGGCCGAGCTATCCCTGAAGCATCCCGAGCTCAAACAAGTTGCGCAACATGCACCCGCTACGAAGGCCTCTGGCAAGTTCTACTCCCTCCTCGCAGTGTCGCAGTCGAACTTGGATGCTGAGGCAGAGATGCGCAAGTTCTTTGGCTCAAAGGTCATTTCTGCTTCCAAAGCATCCAGTTCCGGATCTTCTAATGGGCCTGCGAGACGTCAACCGACTGCTGTCCGTTCAATCTTGACCCGACCTCAGTCAACCTGGTGGCCTACGAGTTATCGTCAGGGTCTATCGTCGCGTATGCTTAGCGAAGAAGAGACTGCAGAGCGAAGCGTGCGACACCAGTGGAACGAAGATATCCCCGGCGAGCGGGTTTGGACGGTCGAGTACAGCCGGAAGTACCGTGGTATGACGAAAACATTTATTCAGATGGTCATGTCTGGAGGTGCGTGGATCTCGTGTATTGCTCGAAAGGGTATATTGACCTCCGCGTCGTTTAGATCCTGAAGGTCTCTTCCATATCTTGCGAAGCTTCCCTTACCACGCCGACACCTTGCTCCAGCTTTCGGAGGTGTACTTCCATCGCGAAGGTGTGCATCGATTCCTTCAACCCCCAGTCTACATCCCTCAAGCCCCAACACAGAGCATAGCACGGCGGCGGATTTCATTGACAGAGCCTTATTTACATATGAACGAGCCTTCGTTGGCGCCTTCAACTTTACAAGCGGCCAAAACCGGCTCGACTTCGATCGTGTCGAGAATCGTCCGTTCTTTCTGGCCATACATAGACAAGTCTCAGACTTGCAACGTCGCGGCTGCGTCCGTACCGCCTTCGAATTTGCGCGGCTCCTTTTCGGCCTTGACCCTGCAATAGACCCGCACGGCTCACTGCTTCACCTCGACTTCCTCACTATCAAGGCCGGCATGCATCAATGGTTACTTGATCTCTGGGATACGCAATGTCAGATGGGCGCAGAGTGGCAGGGCCGTGCACATGTACGGGCATTGCCTGGATGGGCGTATGCCAGAGCGTTGGCGCTGTTTATTCTGGAGGAGGAGAGGAAAGACAATGTGAGTGTCTAGTAGCTTCCGTCTTTGTGGAGGATGTGTGACTGAGGATGACGCAGGAACACAAACGCAGTACAGAGGCACTTCTCGAGGCTGTGAATGCTTTCCCGTCGGTGGTGCCGCTATTGGCAGACAAGGCGGACATCATACTTCCTGGTGCAATTCGAGCCCACGCTGCGTTCCGCATTCATACAGATGCAAGGTCAGTCCCATACACGACTCCGATATTCAAGGGATTGTAACATTAGGCTTGCATTGCAGCACGCTCTCAGACTATTCCCATGCGATTCTTCATTTACTATCGCATCTTTATGCCTTGCGGTCCGCATCGTTGTGGAAGGTCAAATCTCGTGCGGCGTGGTTCGCTAAGACGGTAAGCATCCTTGAAGGCAAGCTGCCGTCTATGACCTTTGGCACTTCATCAAAGTCTACTTCCCCTTCCCCTTCGTTATTCCACTCCCTCTACTCCCGGCCAGCCCTCACCTACTCTGTGTATCGGCACGTCATCGTCCTCGAGTCTGTTACACGCGCAGGGCGCCTCTTTGGCTTCCTGCCACCTAACATCCTCACCTCAAAACAACTTGCGTGCGACCCCGTCCCACCACCAACACGCATCAGTGAGTATGATCCACCGTTCTTCGAGGGCGCCGAAGATCCACTGGCGACGCGCCCGCGCAACCGACGCGACAATGCACGGATGCTTGAGCAACTCGTGCCCGACCCTGTCTTCCGACGGCAGTTAGAGGACTTCTTCAACGCGAACCCGCAGTTCGCGCAGCGCTTCCCTGGCGGTGTCGTGGAGTTTGCGCAGGTCGCGGCACAGATGCCCGAGGAGGTGCTCGAAGACCTCATGATTGAGGTTGCGAATCACGGTGGTGCGGCGTTCGAGGGCGCTCAGCACAGGAATATGCCCGGGCAGATGCCTGGACTCGAAGGGCCCGATGGCGACGACCTGCCTGATCTGCCGCCTGTTGCTGGGCAAGCTCCTGCTGAAGAAGAAGACGATGGGGAGGAAGAGGAGGAAGAGGAAGAGATCGAAGCGGCGGTATGTTGACCAAGTTCGTTACTCGCGAGTCTTACTGACTGTATGCTCTGTAGCCGTTGCCTGTACGCCTGCTTCGCAACGTCATGAATCGCTTCTGGGGTGGCGGCGGGAACCAGAATGATGAATCCTCTGAAGACGAACTGCGGGACGATGCTGGTGTAGACTAAGAGGTAACCTGAACGGATAGGAGCCACATTGATGATCTTATCATGTATTCATTGTACGGCGTGTTGTAATGTGAAGATTCCGCTTTGTCCCCATCGTCGTGGACCACTCGCAAGAATTTGTTGGCGTGAGTGTATTCGTCGAGATTTTGCCCAGAGCTCACCAGCCGATTGCCAATACATGTAGGTGTTCTCGAAGGTTTTTCTACGACTATTCCCATCTATTCAGCCATTTTCCTAGGCGCTGGGGTACAATGTCACCTCCGAGGTGCAACGATACCGTCAAGTACCTTATGTGAATGTCTGTCTTGGCAAGCGCGGCTTTGGTAACAAGTTGGGTAAGTTTCGCTTTCCATTAAGATGATACATATCAGGTGACAGGTGAGTCGCAGTAAGGTATTTGAATGCAGCCATTCACAAGCACGACTCGCGCACCGAAAACCATCCGAAGACAGAGCCGAAACATACTTGTCACAACGTCTCGAGCTCGGGTCATATGACTACCGGCTCCGAGGAACAGCGTCTTCTGTCTTGGCATTACTGGTCCCTGAAGATCTCATCCTGTGTCGTGGGGGATATACTCGAAACTGGAGTTTAAACCTGGACACCGCTGTCTTCGTTGATGCCCCAACTTCGCAAGAGGGGCCGACGATACTGCTATGGTGTCTTTCTTCTGGTTCAGTATAATCTTGAGTCTAGTCGAACAAATGCTTCATCTGATCGAGGTCTGCGGGCCAGGTCCCCGCGCATCCATTTCCCCGCATTTCCCCAGCTACGTCAGGAGAAGATTAGGGTTCCGACGTTCTGGCTAGAATGTCGGTGGCAGAGGGCGCTCCAACCACACGTGAAGCGGTGAGCTTCAATAGTCGGGACGCGGTCGTGCTCTGCCAAGATGCACACTGTATCTGCGGCTCGCGATGCCGTCCGACTTCCTGCGGGTCTCAATTGTGCCAGAGTTTTCCCCCAATCCGTAGAAAATCCGTCGCACCGTTGCAACGTATTGCGGACATATGTTGGCCACCGCCTCACACCCACTTAAGTATAAAATATGGACAGCTGGCACCTAAGGACTCAGACTCGCAGGGCACCTCACAGCCAGAATGTTCGCGTTCACCACTCTACTCGCGCTTGCGTCCTCTGCGATCCCGGCCGCGCTCGCGCACGGCGGTGTTCTCTCCTATTCAAATGCCGGAAACTGGTATTGGGGGTGGTATGTTTGGCAGTGCATTATAGCATCTATTATTGCTGAGCGTGTCGTACTCAAGGGCACCATATAATTCACCTACTGGCCAGACCACCATTCAGCGTCCTTGGTCCTCCTAGTAAGCTGCCGCAAATAATCTCGATATTACGCTCATAGCCGTATATTTAGCAACCCTATTACGGATGCTACTGATCCAACTATCGCGTGCAATGACGACGGTACACCCGGTGCTCTCCAACTCACTGCGACCGTCGAGGCTGGTTCTGCTATCACTGCTTACTGGAACCAGGTCTGGCCGCATCCGTACGGCCCCATGGTACGCTCAGCCTTATATGATCTACTGAGAGGGCTAATTCTCTTCCAAACCAGCTCACGTACCTTGCTCAATGCCCCGGTTCGACTTGCACAGGCGTTAATGCGAACAGCCTAAAGTGGTTCAAGATCGATGAGGCCGGTCTCGTGTCTGGAACCGTCTACGACGGCACGTGGGGTGCGGGCGAGATGATCGCCGACAACTCGACCTGGACGACCACGATTCCCGCAACTGTCCCCTCGGACAACTACCTCATCCGCTTCGAGACGATCGCTCTTCACTCCATGCCTGCTGTACGTAGACTTCTTTCCTTACCGTTCGAACGACATTCATCGTCTTTTCCTAGCAATTCTACCCTGAGTGTGCTCAAATCCAGATCACTGGCGGCGGCAACCTCGCACCCACTGCCGCCGAACTCGTCTCCTTCCCTGGTGCCTACAGCAACAACGATCCGGGTATCAACATCGACATCTACTCGAACGCTGCCCAGACTGAGACGACGTACGTTATCCCCGGCCCGCCGCTCTACGGCTCTAGCAGCCCATCGGTCCCGCCACCACCACCGCCGTCCTCAGCCAGCAGCACGCCCGCGTCCAGCCCGACGCCCTCTGGCCCGACTGTTGCGCACTACGGCCAGTGCGGCGGCCAAGGGTATACCGGTTCTACTGTCTGTGCTGCTCCGTACACATGCACCGTCTCTAACCGTAAGTGTGTTCGGCCGTGTACTTCACCGGCTTAGCTAACGGTTATTGCAGCTTATTACTCTCAGTGCCTCTAAGCCACGTGCCTCGTGTAAACACTTCGCCCGAGAATATCATATGTCTTTGTTGAAAGCATGCTAGCGAGACAGTACAGATACATTGTTATTTTACGACCGACAATACCTCTTTTTTCCCGCTTGTTTATAAAGGCCCGTAAGACTACTGTTACATGAGGACCTATGCTATGATCAATAAATATGTGTCTGTGTCGGTAACTCTGGAGAGCCTGAAACCTAAAGGCGTCAGGGAGTCGTAGAACCGCACCAGACGGCCCTGGCCTCACACGAGCACCGAACCAGTCGATGGACTCCACCCGTCAAACCCAAAACCTACCAGTTTTCCCTCGCCCTCAATGACCGTCCATGCCGAAACTATAATGGTGGTCCCCTTGCGGTAAGGCCACCGGTGGTCGGAGGGTTGACACCAGCCTTGGACGAGTTATCCACTGGTACGCCACCTGTGGACCTTGTCAACTGGAACTTCCCGGTCGTCCCCGTCCGCGGGTGGTTCGTCAGCATCCGAAAACGCTTCAAAGCATTCGCCTACAGGTTTGCATTTTCCCCTGTATCCGAATTCCTAGGCTAATGCCTCTTCCTCTTCCACGAGGAGGCCCTGGTCGTGGTTGAAAATTACGCGGTATCTTGACACCGCATACTTCGCATACCACTGAGTAAATTTGCGTTCTGCCTCATCAGGCCTCGCAGCGTGCTTCAAGTTGATGAGTCATGTCCTTGTGAAATGTCTCCCTCTCCCAGTAGTATTCGCTTTCAGTTGGTGCCGCTGGATACTAACGAACAAGATAAGAAAGCAACGAAAAAGCCCATCTTTACGACGTCAAACCATTCCCCGCAGCTTCGCTTTCTAGTGTGAAGGAGAATATTTGGTCGACTCGGAAGACTCGGCCCCCAGCGCCCTCCAGACGCGCGTCTATTCATCATGGGAATTTGTTTCAAGCTCCGATATTGGGAAATATTCATAATATTCGATATTTTATTCTTGTCTCCAACGTTCACCTGTCGTGCTCTCACGACTCGACTTCCACACTTCGACGACACCTCAGACGACCTCAAGAAACGATGTCTGATCTTGACGCAGACCTATATGGAGGTAAGTATTCACGCATAATTATATGTTTCGTGTGCTGAGCTAGCTATTTGCAGACCTTTACGGCAACGACGAGACGGAATACTCTGCCCCTCCTGATCAGGCGGAGGTACCAGTGAAGGAAGAGGTCAAGGACTCTCCTCCCGTGGCCAAGGCGGCAACACCTCCTCCGTCGAAGCCGGCGACCACGACACAGCCTTCACCAGAGCCCCCGAAAACTGAACTAAACTCGCCTACCGTAGAACAAATCTCCCAGCAGTACGATATTTCAGATATTTCTGGGTATCCGAGCCAGCCCACCCAGCAAATACCGACGTACCAGGACAATGAGTCAAGCGAGTACCGAGAGCTTCCCCCTAACCGTCCAGATCAAAACTATGCTGGCGCCATGAACCGGCCAGTGCGGCCGTCAGAGATGAAAGAGGAAGGGTGAGTATCAGCGCTCCACATTTGCAGCTGACCTTTGTCCAGCGCGGATTCTCTGGTGCACGTGGCGGGATATGGTTCGGCTCTGGATGCTAGTTACAAGGAACCACTGTCCTCTGTAGCGTGTTCTTCATCCGGTAGTCTCCCTGTCGCCTACGACTACTAGCCTTAGCGTATCCAGGTCAACCCTCATAAGCTAGGCTAGCACAGTCTTGCACACACAGTAGAGTCATCCATTTTGTCTCTCCTGTCTGATCACTGGTTTGTCTAGCAAATAACAGATACTAATGCAACCGTCTTCCCCCTATATGTTCCACCTACGCCTTCGTCGTATACTCGGTACACTCGCAAACCGTCGCTGCTATACATGTCCTATGTCTATAGCAAAATGTTCATCGGCGGTCTCAACTGGGATACTACAGATGGTACATACATCATCAACTCGCCTTGTCGCCCTTCGTGTGTACCGGTACTAAACGTACGTCACAGAGTCACTAAGAAAGTACTTCTCGCAATTCGGCAAGGTCGAAGCTTGTACTATTATGCGCGATGCTGCCGGCCGCTCACGGTGCTTTGCGTTCCTGACGTTCGAAGATCCAGCATCCGTGAACGCAGTCATGGTTAGGGAGCACTTCTTAGATGGCAAGATCGTACGTAGTCTCTATCACGTATGAGTAATTTTGACCTAGAAACAATCTAGATTGACCCCAAACGTGCTATCCCTCGGCAAGAACACCAACGGGCGACGAAACTCTTCATTGGAGGTCTTGCAGGTAGCGTCACCTCAGAATCAATGCGCGAATTCTTCTCGCAGTTCGGCAAGGTTGTCGATGCCACGGTCATGCTCGACCGTGAGACAGGTCGAAGCAAAGGCTTCGGTTTCGTTTCTTTCGAGAACGCCAACGTTGAGCCACTACTTGGCTTCGGGAATCTTGAGATTGACGGCAAGATCGTACGTACACGCCGATCGAGCCTTACCGTGCTTTGGTAATGACTTCTTCGCAGATTGACGTCAAGCTCGCCCAGCCGCGTTCACAGCGCGAGGGCGGTTTCACCCAGGACGGTCAGAACAACCGCGGGAACTTCAACGCAACAAACGGCTTCCAAGCCAGCGGTGGGTTTGGCGCAGCAGGCGCCGCTGCGGGCGCGACCCCGACAGGCGGTGTAGGTGGCAACGCGCCGTTCGACCCCCAGGCCCTCGCAAATCTTTACACGCGCATGCTCTCGCAGATGGGAGGCATGAATCCGATGATGGGTGGGATGAACCCGATGATGGGAGGCATGGCCGGTGCAGGACCCGGCTATGGCGGACCTATGGCTGCTGGGATGCGCATGCCCATGGGTGGACCTATGGGGGCGCCAGGCATGATGGGTATGGGCGGTATGGGCATGCAGGGCATGAGCATGGGACGCGGTGCGCCTGGTATGGCTGGCGCGGGTATGATGGGTGGACCGATGAACGTACCCCGTGGACCGCGGGGCGCGCCAACAGGTCCTGGCGGCGGTGCAGGTGTTGGACCCCAGAGGGCTGGCCAGCGAGGAGCGCACAACTATCATCCGTATGCGCGGTGATTCAAGTCTCGGTTGTCTGATCTTTGGACCGCTTTTCTCCTCATACTTGTACTTACACGTAAATATGTTTCACTTATGTATACGGTTCAGAGATCGCTGCTTTGCGCCTACGGATATTGAATCACCCCAGCAGTAGCTGTAAACTAGGGGAACAAGGGCGATTGCCGCGATAAATTCACTCACAGCACATATAGAAACCAGCAGCAGCTTAAGAACAAAGCTCAGACCGTGGTACGAAGAATGATCTCGCGCGGACAAGACTTTATTACTGAGATGGTTGTTAACTCGCGGTTCGATTACGGTCCATATCTACGAATTTGTACTAGCATGAGGTTCTGAAAATTTCCATCGAGTGAGACGTCGAAGTAGTTCTAGCCGTGACAACCGGTTCTTGAAACCGGTATCGATAATACTGAGATTCATGCACCCGAAGTCTTTAGTATTTCTCATCTATAAAGGGAGACAGTAGTATGGGGATAGCGATTGTTCGAGCAGTAAAGCATCAATTAGCCGAAAGACGAAAAAGTACCGATAGTCAACAAGCCACTTAGTCAGATAGCAATGTTCTTCTCGCAGCTGAGCCCCCAAAGTTCCTAAATCAAGCTCACTCCCTACATACACATAAGCCTTTACTTTGATGTCGATCACAAGAAACTCACTTCGCCACCCGTCCGCGCTTTTTAGATGGACTTGGACTTCTGTTGTCAGCGCCGCGCTTGCGTGCCCGGGTCGGCGATGCACCGCGCCCTCTGGCATGCGCGGTTGGGACGTCCGTAAAGCTGTTTGGCGTCCACGGCGTCGTAACTGCGTCTTCCCCATCCGATTCGGGCGCAAGCCGCAGGCTCGACACGCGCGAGAGCGTGCGCTTTGAGGCCGCGCCGTCCGCCTGCGTGCCTGCGGCTCCCGGAGTGCCGTGCTGGTTGGACGGCGCGTCCGCGGCGGCGCCCACGCGCGGCGTGCTCGGGTCCTCGTCATCGCTTAAGCTGATCCTGGCCTCTTTCACGTCATCATAGATGTCCGCTAGTACCTGGCGGAAGCCGCGTTGGACGAGACCCATAAACCTGGAGGTATGCGTGAGTTTGGACAAGTACGATGTACATGACGAGGGACGCATACCGGCTGTCGCGTGTGTACACCCGTAGCAGGACTTCCGCGAAAGCTTGTGGCATGATGTTTGAGATGTCGCCACTCTCCGCATATTTTGCACCTGCAAGCAAAGTCAGACACCAACATCCGCGAGCTACATAGATATGCGAGGAAATAACTCACGATTAGGCTTCCTCTTGCTGTAGAACTTTACATACCTCAGCGGGTTGAGCTCCTTCATGCCGTAGTGCAGCGTCGCAAGGTCGACGATGATTTGCTCCTCGCCGAGCTCGCATGCAAGATCGTAGTTCTCGTCGCTCTCCCGAGTTATGCGCTTCGCTGCGGCAACAATAGTTTGTGGCGTGATACGTTCGCGGCAAACGTCGCGTACGCTCCACGGATACACCTTGTACTCGATCCACTTATAGAGGTCTCGCGTGTCAATGCGATAGAAGATCTTACGCGCCTTCTCCAGTTCCTAGTATGCACTCAGTACTGTGCTTACTGAGATTAGGAGGCATGCTTACTGGGCAGGTGGTCGCCTGTATGCGCAGTTTGATGTCATCTGTAAGGTGCACGTACCGCTTCGGGTCTTCGATCTGCTCAGCGATGTGCATGTAGGGTTCGGCTTCAAGCAGAGCGTCGATGATCATATACTCGATAGCCTTGGCTGCGGGCAGCAGATTCAGCATGCGACCCAAGATAGAAAAGGAAACTGACCGGTCTTGTGGTTATATATGCGCTTGTGCAAACTAAATCTTGACCAACAAAGCTCATATACAGAATTCGCATCTTTGATGTTGTAGCAAATCTCGCCGCCGATAACGCGTACGGAATGAATGAGTCTGGAGGATGTGCACAGTTACCGATGAGAACGAGAAAGGGAAGATGGCTAGACGCACTTGGTCAAGGAGACATTTTCACCCTGACCGATGGCATGGCAGTCTCGCGCAATGTAGTCGAACTTGTCAACATCAAGGCCGTTGCGCTTGTTCGCAACAATTTCGAACAGGAATTTCTTCGCTTCGAGCTCTCTGCATAGACTTCACGTGTCTGTCAGATGATCAGAAGTGGAACGGGGCACGCACGGACAGCGCGACGGCTCGCCCGCAATCAACGCCTTGACGACAGCAGCCTCCTCCGGAGTCACGTCGACGGTGGGCTCCTGGCAGAGGTAGTCGAACATCATCTCTGAAGCATCTTCATGTTTCCACTTCTTGTTCGGCCTGACATTCGAAGGTTCAATTAATAAAGAATGTCGTGGTTCTATGCTTTTCTCACTCACATTGCTTTCGGAATGAACAGCGAGTCCCAAACATGACTCCAAGGACCATGACCCAAATCATGGCAAAGACCTGCTATCGTTACGCAGTCGATATCTTGTTCGGTGATACCCAGTTCTGGCTGTAGTTGCTGAAGCCTCTTGACTTGTGTCAAAGCGAGGTGTGCGACGCCTGCGGGACGATGCGTCAAGATTACTCAACTAGCCGACACACAAAGAGGGTACCAAGACAATGTTCGAAGCGATTATGCGACGCAGCTGGCCAGACGTAGTACGACGTTCCGAGTTGCTTCACGTGTCGCAGTCGTTGAAACTGCGGGCTATTTAGATAGTCAGTCCACGCTTAACGCGTGATAAGCGATCATTATACGTGTCAATAATTCGACAGATCCGTTCGCTGAGAGTGACTAAAGTGGAGACGCGTCGGATGAGGATAAACATCGCGTGGGCAGTTTAATTAGAGGGAGAGGCGGGACTCACTCCAGCCATGCACCGAGTCCTTGAAGCTCCGCTCTTTCGAGTTCAAAGGCTGATCTTCCTCGCCTTCCGTCTCGTCGTCGCTGTCGTACGAATGATGTGGGCTAAAGGCAGCCATGAGGTTGCTCGGGCTCGGAGGCACAGATGAGTCGCCGGTGGCAAGCCGTGTGGTGGATGCCATGTTTAACGATGAGTGAAGAGATTAAAAGCGAAACCGTAGGAAGGAGACACGCCGTAGATGTATGCACAAGGTTTGAGATGGAAGGCACACTCGAGGCAGGCGTGAGGCTGGAGAAGAGGAGAGGTAGGGAGGGGGATGCCGTATCGCCAAGCGCCTGAGTATTTGCGTGGCGGTCCATTTCCTATTTAGACCGGCGCATCAAATGATGCGTTCCTGGCCCCCTTCTGCGGCTGCTCTCGATGGTTGATTCACTAGGCCTGCTTATCATACAATTGTATTATGTTAGACATTCTACTCACTTTGTATTTGCAGCCACCGCGAACTCTATCAATACCCCTACAGGTCCATCTCCATCTCGCCTTGAAGGCCTTGTGTTCGTCGTGCAGGGTGCCTTGCGGAACGGGCGGCAATCCGCAGCACATCCGTGGTTGAAGTGCTAACGTTAGTGGGAGCCCTACACCGCCGGCGCGCCGTGAGGTATAAATGAGTTGATGCCGTTACCGAACAGTTCACTGCGCGGTACGTGACGCGCGTCTCCTCGTTACCTAACTGTCAGAAAGATAAGTAAATAACATCAGTGCACCGTTAGGCAAGCTCTAACGGTTAGCTAACGAGATTGGGTAACGGGCTGGTCTTTCCATATTCCCGAGGTGTTCTGCAGCGGGGTTTGAATATGTCGGCAGTACCCGTTTGAATAAATTACACATTTTCCATTGAATTTTCGCTCTATTTGCATGAAAATTTGACAATAAAAAGCAATATATTCCTGACAAAACTAGGGAAGATACAAAGCTCTAGGGATTATTACTACACTACAGTACATGCTAATCTTCCAGACAGACACTGTGCTTAGTACTCTTCACATCTGTCATGACTTGCTGAGACTTGCATGGATACCCTGCACAAAGCTAAAAGTGTGAGCCCTTAAAACACAACAGCAGACTTATGAGCTTACATGAGTGACACCTATCACCCGACATGTCAGCTACATATGATTACACATCTAGATAATCGTCAGCTGTGACTACCACAGAATATATGGTGACATACCCGTCAGAGTAGTGTAGGTGCTGCTGAACCAAAGGACATATCAATCAGGAAGCTACTCCTTGAGCTGTAGCACAACCTGATTTGTACTGTAGCTTAAGGAAGATACAGTGAAGGTATACGCGAAGTGAATGGAGGATGGGAGAGGAAGAGACGTGGCAGACAAGAAGCGCTTGAACCACACCGAGGGAATGCCGATGCATGCCGAGCATCAGCGGAGTTCAAAGCTGTCCCCGGCTCAAAGGCTTGAAGCATTCGCAAAGTCAGTCGTTTCATTGGACACATCCTTCGTTCATGGCGAGAAAAATATTTTGGATGCAACAAAGATACAAGTAAGGTTAGTTACTGCCCTCAGGAAGCTTCCAATATTTTATTAGCAGGAAGTAGGCTCGTAGCTACGGTTGCAAGTTGGAAGAGCTCGTTTCCTCACGCTCAGGAATCTGTTAGGCGAACGGCTAGCCTGTCAGGCACAAATAGAGACTTAACGGTTAGCAAATTGAATTCGCGCCTGTACTCCTGGCTGTCCGCCGAGTAGCATCAGACCAGTCAGGCGTTTGTTCGATCATTCTGATTGTAAACCGTCAGTTACGTACACGACGGCGGTGTAGGAAGCCATCGACATGCTCGCACCCCGTGCAAGCCGTGCCTTCGAATGCTGCCGAGTTTTGTTTCCGAGTCGTCCCTCAGACCTACGCCTGTCGTACTGTCATCCCCAGTAGCTCACGGTACCGGGGGCACGGAGGAGCCTGCCATATCTAATTACGATAGGGACATTGTTCTGTGCATGGAAAAGGTGACTCGCACCCACTCACTAACCCCTGCACGCTAATGGCGTCCCTAGCGTCATTCTTAGCCTCCTCGATGCGCAGCGTCAATGTCCTTTACTAAATGCGTTAGAATTTACCGCCGCACAGGATCAAAAGTAATATAAAGAGAGCTTCTGAGCTGATTCTCAGACGATCCGATGCTTAGCGGTGCGCGCTCGGATATGCGTTGCTTCCAACGAGACCCGTGCTCAGACTATGGTCCATCGCATCGCGTCCCTCGCGTGCGACGCGCCCGGTGAATATGCGTTCCGGAGGGCTGCGCGCGGGTGTGGTGGACTATGGACTTACGCGGAGGGTCTGCGTGGAACGATTTTTAGTGCGACCGTCACCGGGCCTGTGCAGTACATCATGGCTGTCCTGCGAAAGAACGTAAGTTTCCTTGAGTCCGATACACATGACTGATACTCTCATAGGCACTCATGGTGTTCTTCGATCGGCACTCCACTGTGACGCCTGTGCGGCGCGTAGGAGGCGCCATTCCGGGAGTTTCTATTAGGGACCGTAGATTTTCATCCCTCGCATCGCTCCCGCCGTCGCCTCCTCCAGTTCATAAGACTTGCACGGACGGGGATTCAATCCAATCAGTCTGCTTTCGCTGACTAGTGCATGCCACATGCCATACGCCAGCCTATTTGGCGCGATATTGATTGGTGGTGTTACCACCGCCATGTAAGTCTCGCTATCCTGGAACTCGAAGGCATTACCTGATTATGTCTTGGCAGTCTCTACGGCATCACATGCCTCCAATGCTTCAATTATTTCCAGAGAAACATGCAGGAACCTACATCCCTTAAAGCTTCTGTAAGCCTGTCTTGCCTGCGGTGTACTCAGGATGTTAATGAACTTTCGTGTGCAACAAGGTGTGGATGTTATGGTATGGTACTCTGCACGATTCTTCGCGCGCATTCACCGACATCTCTTGGTGCTAGGCTGCTGTCGACCTGCCATTTCGTCATCATTAGCATGACACTATATACGTAAGTGTGTACACCAGCTCACTTTGTCAGATTTCATCAATTAAATTTAATGGTATCAGTCAACTGGTGGATAACTTCGGGAATCTCTCAACTCTCTCGGAGATACAGTGGTGAGAAAATCGGCTTCACGTTGTGACGAGTTCTCATCCGTCCTGCGAACAGGAGCACTCCGGTGAGTCCATATTCTTTCAAGATGCGGCATCAAATTCATGTGTATCAATGCCGTAGCCACTTGTTATAATCACGGTACATGGAGTTAATCGCCATCAAATATTTCATACCGGGCTGACGACACTGTATGCGTTAGGTTTGCATATCGCTCCTTGTTCAATGGTGAGCCTATTCACCGGTGCGATACCTCTGAGACTCACCCTTCTCGATAGCTGGAATTGCCATAGGGTGTGGATCTGTGAGTGATATAGCAAGGCCCACTTCGTAGAAAACTAATAACACCCCTTCAAACATGGCCAGTAAGCGAGAAGAATGCTATGCTCACTTATCCCCTGGTCTGTTGCTGAGTCATCTAATCCTTGCTATATAACGTCTTATGAGCCTGAAATAGCTATTTGTTACTGCGAGTGCCTTTTGTGGGTTCACATTTCTTATCGCGTCTTCGAGCATACTCAAATTTGAGACACAGGCTGGGGGGCAGGTGCGTCCATGATCAGAGCTTGACATCGCCGGTTTGACATGCGGTATTTATCGCTAGCGGCATTCCTGCAGCTGTACGTATGACGATTACTGTTTGAAATCTGTAGCTCAATTGTAGTAGGGCTCTCTCGAATTCCCTAGCAGAGTTTCGGAGCAAGCAGGCAAGTCGTCATGTCAGCGCCAGTGCAGTAACTCCCCTTAAGCTGTTTGACAGTGGATCTCGTATATAGCAGTTGCATGTGTAACAACGGCAGACGTGTACATAGCAGTCGCTCTTTGCTATTTCTTGGTCAAACACCGACGCGGGGTCATGCCACAGTGAGTACCGTCGATCGTGCTCCTCTAGTATGTTCCGCACATAACTATATACGGACAGAACACATTCATTCGTCGGCATGCTGCTCGTTTATACCGTATCTACTGGGATGCTTACCAGGTATGTCGTGATATTGAAGATATTACCATGTAATTGACATCTTCAGTGTTGTTGCTGTTGGGTACGTCATCACGGTAAGCACTGACATGCTATATGAGAGTGCGGAGGTTCAACTGAAAATATCGTTGCAGAGTCTTCTTTGGCCCCGAACATACGTTTGGTGGGCGAGTAAGTGGTGACTCGTGGTATGTTGCTTCGACTGCTGACCTCGCCGAACACTTGTCAGTATATTTTGTTCTCGGCGAAGGTAAGCATTCAATTTCCGCCTCTCGAGGGAATTTCATAACAATGACTTGCAGTCTACGCAAGTTCGTTCATGGCATGGTACACTTTCGCGCTATGAATCATCATATGCCCTTCGCTGATTGCGCTGCCCAATCACAGGCTGAATGCTCGAGAACACTTCAGGCGTACGCTGGAACATCGGTCATATTCGCCAGCTATACACGTGACTAGCGTACGGTTCGCCGAGACAATGCTTTTTATGGTGCGTCTCTTTGTCTTGATCTGGTTTGTGGGCTATGAACAAGCGGCACGTTAGGATCATGGTTTAGATTCCGACTCTCAGGCTACATGTGAAGATTCCACATGCGACCAGGATACTCTCGCATGGTCGGATAAGACAGAGACGCAGTATGGTGGTTTTTTTGCCTCTTCACAGACGTTCCACAGTCGCCGAACTAGGAGAAGACGATCGTTGTGAACTCGAAGAAGCGGCTGTCGCGCGGAGTCTGAGGATGGGCAATGGGAAGTTAAGGCACTTGCGGTGTTAGGCCATGCAGCGGACACATTGTGTTACATGGTATGTTAGTCGTCATCGAAGGCGAGCCATTAGTGGTGCTCGCGCATTGGCAGTACCCCGGATAGGCTCATGATGGCTTCCATCTTGACCGGATCCATTACTGGCTGCAGGAGGGCGGCACGAACAGAGATAAGAGATCGGAATGTACATAATGTTGCCACCAAGTAATGGTGTACAGGCGTGTCGGTTGATGCGATCACCCACGCGAAGAGTCTGCGGAGTCTTTCCATTGACAACTGACGTATTATGTTCAATGCAACCCCATCTATTCGAGAACGTGTATATGTGGGTACATCATAATTTACAGTCTCTCATGGTCAACGCCTGCGGCACAACCCATTAATATTTTGGTGGTGGCGATGTAGGAGAGATTTATCTATGAGCTTACGTCGTGGCTGGAGCTTAAATAACTTACCGTGGGAGACCGTCAGGCCGCCGTCACCCTCACATGCATACAGCCGACCGCTTGTCCTTGGTCATCATGGCGCTCCAGCTATCTACAGAGATTTTACAGGACATCGTTGCGCTTCAAGGCAATGAGATCTTACGGCTAAAGGGAGAGCTGGCAGCCGCCGAGGTAAGGCTGCTGTGCACCGCGAGCATACTAGTAGCCTAGCTAGTGCTAACTTCAGGTTGATAGAGCCGTATCCAATCTCTAGAGGCCGATCTAGCAGAACTACGCGTTCATAACGAGTCCTCAGAAAGTAATGACGAAGATGGGCAGGTAGAAAGTCTGTCATTGGTCTGTATCATCCCAGGTTGGAACTAGATATGGAATCCGAAGCCTGACGATTCACATTTTATTTTATTTTAGCAAATAATCCGAGCTCAACCGACAGACTTAGGAACAAGCTCCGTCGGAGAAATACCTTTTTCATGTCTCCTTCCCCTTTATGAGGGGACGCCGCTAAATGCTCTGAGCAAACCTGCGAAGAAGAGTATCAAGAACGCAATGAATGTACGTCCTCTGAGAGAGCTTCTTCAAGCCCCCGCTAAGCTGGTTCTGGATTCTAGAAGTAAGCCTTTCCCTCCACGTTTCTCACTCAAAGCCCCTTATGCTCTCCCAGCGACATATCCTCTATGCTCGCCATCAAAGCGCAGCTCACGTTTTGGACGGATCCCAGCTGTGATACTTTGGTCGTCCTCGTACCACAGCGGCGCATCAAGAGTGACGGCGAGTGGGGCAAGTCCTTCCACGGCTATATGATCGGCCAGCATGAGATCTTCGCCGATGCCTCTGACGGCACGCGCTTCTATCTTGGTCAATACCAATCCACAAGCGGAAAGACGCTAAGACATACCGTCGTCCCATATCGTGGGCTCCCTGATGATGTGTGGTGTTCATTTTGAGCATAGTTCTTCAGGAGCTGATTGCATGCTTGTTAAACAGACGAAGGAGGCTCTGATCTCGAAGTCGAGCGTCGCTCAGTACCAGGACGAGGCTGCTGCGAAGTACGAGGAGGGCAGCTTCGTGCCAAAGCGCATCTACTACCGCCGCGTGGGCTTTGATCAGGCTCTATACGAACGCTTGTGTGCCATTGCTCCACGCACTGAGCCGGAAGGGAGCGGCAAAACGTAGGCGCGAGGCTGAGCTGCATCGTAAGTGAGATAGAGAATTCTCTGCGCTACAGTTATCCTTACGACACGCCCTCATAGTCTTGGGAAAAACGTGCATTAGCATCACGTCAGCTAGCCTAGGAATATCTCGTTCTTCACGGGACGAGAGGTCCCGATCCATCCCTGTATGATGGTTCTGTTCCCCAGCGACGAGAAAATTGAGCATATGACATCCATCCTTGCGATGAGCGCCTTCTTGCTAAATCATAGTATAGGCTAAGAGCACAAACCGCAGATCTGTCGATAAAGCTCCTGTTTCCCGCAATCAAGAAAAGACGGCAGTCTGGCCGTTAGCACCTGAGATACACGTCACAGAACCAGATTTGTGAATGCAAGCATTGCAGTAACGATGATACGGTTGGTTGAATGGGCTATATAAAGTACGCAAGGTTCATCTTGTACGGAGAAAAGCTATCTTGATCGGCAGAGGCCGGCCGTCGCTGCGCACTGGGAGCGGCTCGGACTCTTCGTTGTATCCAGACAAACAAGTCGTCTAAGATGTGTTATTGACTCTACTCATATACATAATGAGTAAATTATTACGTTCTCAGCCTGCTACAAGGAACACTCCTGCATGCAAAACGGTGGGGGCAACGTTTCGGTGCGCTGCGACCCGCCAACTCGGCTGCCAGCTGCTTTGGCGTTTGCTTTTGGGGCCTGAGGACAGTAGATAGTGTCAAACAAACGCTGCTCAAACAGCTCGTATACACCTCCGAAGGCAGATTCAAACGACAATCTCCGTTCCAAAGCTAGAAATGAACTGGATACATCGGTTATAGAGAGCTGGTATCAGAGCACAAAGAAGAAATCGAAAGGGTAGACTCCACACGGCGATCACATCCGCTTCCTCTCTAAACGTCGAACATCACAGCGAGGTGATAGCATAGTCCAAATTTTGGATCACGCGAGACTCAAAGTAGTAACGTGCCGAGCAGCGCAGAGAATATGAGCGCCGCGCCGCTGGCGACATTGACTGCTGCACCGCTCGAGCCACCAGTGGGTGCGGGGGCGCCACCGGTCGTAGAGCCCGACGGTCCGGCAGTGCTCCCGGCGGTGCTCGCACCAGAGCCACTTGCGTTGCTCGATGCAGCGGGGCTAGGAGTAGCAGCAGGGAGGTCGAAGCCTTGGATGCCGTCGGTCGACGTGCCGACGGGCCCCGGAGGCGCAGTCACGTTCACGTCCACGCCAACCAACGACGCGCCCGGCGTCGGCTCCCCAGGCGTCGTACCGTTGCTCGCGAGTGCGGTACTGACGACGTCATCCCAGGAGCCAGTGCCCGATGCGGGGGCGTTGATTGAGCTGGCAGAGAGCTTAGCTGCATTGCAGTGGATGCAAGTATGAAAGAAGCTTACCCAACCATGCCGAAGGTGCTGCAGTGCGGCCCCGGGATGAGCTGCGCGCAGTAGAAGTAGATGGCTGAAGGTGGATTGAGATGCCAGTGGGTGAACCGCGTAAAGGGGCGACTTACGCTCTTGGTCGTTGGTGATGGTCAAGTTCCAGGACGGGAAGTTACTAGTCGTGTTCGCGGGAATGAATAAGAAACCAGAATCGAAGCCGCTGGACATTGGCTGGCAAGGGCTCTGCGCCGTCGACTGAGTGATCGTATGGTTTCCCGGGGAGCCCTGCCACACGAAGTTGACGATTGTGCCGTTACTCGCAGTCACGTTTGGGGGCATGTACTGGTAGATACCACCCGGCGTTGCCGCCTCGGCTCCGACTTGAATCTGGATGTCTAGGTGAGCCTGCGGCCTTTAAAGAGATGCGAATGGAATGCTCACGGTAACAACAGTCTGGGCTACAGCCACTAAAGCTGCGGATAGGAGCACGGCAACAGCCGCTGAGGTGTGCATTCTGAGAGGCGTACTGGGGATGTAACGGTGGTGGGAGTGTGCGAGAAGTGAGACACCTGGGTGGTGGGTACATTGTGATAGCTCGCGCGACAGCTTATATATGCCTCAAGTATGCTTGTCCTCACGCCCAAGGGAAAGCCAGCGGAGTGAGGCCGTTCGCGATCAAGCGAGGGCGTGAGAGCCCTCGGGACTACTGTATTGGGTGACAGGCGGATACGAAAGCAGTGCGAAATGCACTCACGCACCGTGCTTCTAACGCGACTTTGTCATGCATTCGATAGGATTTTGTACGGCTAAGACACTCACTTTGAGCCTGCCTTCTCACACCTGAAATAAGCGACGAATCCGGCCTATCATGAGCTTGTCTGCAGGTAGACAGGCGAACATCACAAGCCTGCGCAGCTTGTGGCCAGCGCAATTAATTCCTAACTGTGGTGACGTACCACATGTCTGGGACAAGGGGTGAGAGGGAAGCTTAAGTCTTGCTGTTGCCAATGGCCATATCTCTCACGTTGTTGCTGAAACATGTCGTTCATGGGAACATTCGCTGAGCCAGTCTGAATGCGCTGGTAACTTGAACGAGTGGCTTCACGTATTACAAGCCGGCCTTACCAGGCATGTATATGAACATATCAGTAGTTGCGCACCGTTGACAGAATGCATAGGCGCTGTAACACTCGAGACTGAGCGTGAGGCGCCCGCAGCCAGCGATGTCATCCGGGCGGGTGTGCGCACATAGCCTTAGTGGCATGAAGTGACGGGCGTGTGGTCCGTCTAGTAGGAGCTTGTGAGACAGTGCGAGTTGATATGCGAGACTACATTGGAAGACGCGACATTGCAGCGTACCAACATTGAGCGAAACACCCAGATTTGATATTTTGCAGACATGACAAAACTTGTACAAGACCGAGGGCCGAGGCCCACAGATGTTGTTGAGCCGATAAAGTTTACTTCTGGCGGTGTCTGACCTCGAACGCGAGGCATTTTTGAGCGAAAGAGCAATAGAAGGGTGTCCTCGAAGCTAGAACAGGCCGTCTCTAAGTAGCGCTGATCCGCACTTTTGTGTGAGGCGGCTGGTGAAGCCGATGGATTTAGATTTGATGCGCTGATCCCGCCATCAACCTCGCCGAAGGGCGTTGAAACTTTCGCTTTAACGCTTGCTCAAGTCTGAACTCATCCTTACCCTCCCTGGTTCTATTTCGTGTCACTTAGCGTGTGTGAGACCTCGAAAATTTGGCGGGGAATGCATCCTCGTAACCGGTCTCTTCAGGGACCAAACTCTGGCCAAAGCTCGAAGCAAGGCTACAGGTTCCACAAGGCCGCCGATGTACGACAGAGCTTAAGGAACCAGAATGAAGCTATGCTTATCGAAGGTGTGTGACGAACATATGGCGGGTGTTATTTGCGTAACTTAAGTGTGCGGTGCAGCCCTAACGGCTCTGCGCAACCAGCTCACTGTGAAGCCAACTGAAGATACCGTTCGTGCAGATGACGAGAGGCTATTGTTTGTCAAGTCATGGTTGGACACGGATCCTGGGGCGCAAGATATTTTTGAACTGTGGGAGAGGGCTACCGCGGTGTGTGGTACATTGCTTTGGGTATCGCTATACGCTGATACTCTGACAGAGGCAGCTAGCGCTACTCTCTTCCATTCTATCCGTCCTGTCCTCGATCCTCGTCCTTCTCTCCGCCCATTATACATATCACTCCTATGCGAGCCCCATTATAAAGGCTGTTCTGTCTCCGCAATGGTCCCCGAGGCTTAACTCGTACCTGTCCACTACGCATAACGAACTGGTTCTCCTCACACTGAAGCTGTACAATAATTTGTCGACATTTGCTGGTGGACGCGAACGGCGGGCAGTCCTAGATGCGTTCCCTTGGGAGCTGAAGGTGAATACACTGTCTTTCCCCCTCCCCCTCCCCCTCCCCCTCTCCTTCTCCTTCCACGTACTCACCATCGCAGACATTGCCGAAACTTTTACATATGCGGCGTCGGAGCAAGCCCAGCGACAACATCGATATCATGGCGAGACCAGGTAAATAGTTTCGCTCATAACTACACATCCACCGATTGACACACGTACCCTAGACATCCGGACGCTGTATATCTTGTTTCTCCTGTCGTTCGTGGACTCTACGACCTCGACTGCCGTGAAAACCGCCTTCCTCGAGCAACGGCGCGACAGCTTTATAGGCGTGTTCAGGGGCCTCTTCCAAGATGCGCATACAGTCGTACGGAGAGTCCTAGAGTGCTGTTGGACGGGCATATGGTGCGACCCAAAGATCAAACGCACCGCAAAAATCAGCTTGTTTAATGAGCAGACGGTGCAACAGGCAAGAAATTTCCTCGGATATGTGTGACTGTGCTGATAGCATAGCAAGATCCTCACATTGTACGAACGTAGTATTTCGGAGGACGAGGACCAAGAGTCTGTTCCAGCTGACATCGCACACCACTTCCTCTTGGCGATATGCACGCGCCCAGGTACTGGTATATGCTTCAAGGACCGTGGGTGGTATCCGCGTGAAGATGAAAATCAGCCGACAGTGGAGAGGGAAGACGAGAGCCGGCGTCGCCAGAGCGGCAAAGTTTACAATAAGATCCTCGCGGGTGTGCTGAGGACCCTTAAAGTCAATGAAGACGCGAGACAGCAAGAGCTTGCGCTGCGTATACTTGAAGCATGCCCAGAGCTCGTCGCAGGGCGAGTGGCTCCTAGTGGCAAACTGCACATATACTCACTCATCTATAGGTACTGGCATGGAACTGCTCTCACACTAGAGCCCCGTCTATCCTCAAAATGGATCGTCAACATAGCCTTTTTTGGTTCAGTCATTTCCCTTCCCGTGCCCAGTGCGTCGTTCTTCCTGCCAGATGCAGACTTGTATCGCCCTTCGCCACCTGTGCTTTCTACTATCCTCGATAATATCCTTCCATCCATCAACATCAAAATTCACCTCTCGCGTGGTCTTCAGTCCAGCGTTCCGCTTGTGCAGCACTGCGCAGCCCTTGCGCTTGCCAAGTGCCTCGCCAAGTTTGGTGAGACTGCGAAGAGCATCCGCGCCGCTGCCGCTGCACTGGAGGAAGGCGAGGAAGAGGGCCAGTGGTGCCACCGGGCACGTGAGCTCGAGCGAGAGGTTGCGCGACGTGTGCCCGACTTCCAGGTCATTGTGGCATTTGGGCAGCAGAAAACCGCAGAGATGCACACCGCAGCGGTCGCGGGAGACCAGGGCGCTGTGACGAAAGCTACATTGCTTGCCGAGAGCGCACAGAGGCTTCTGTGGTTATATCACGAACATTTGCCCAGCCTTGTCGCTGAGACGCGGTTTGACGTCAGCAAATTGCTCCAGGGTATTCAAGAGGGCGAAAGTCAAGCTAGCGAGGCTGTCGTGCCTCACTCGGGACTGGTCGCTTTGAGGCAGTTGCATATTTTGAGGTTACTGCAGAGAAGCGAAGATTTCTCGTGGTCTGGAAAGACAGGCACGCTTTCTTCATGCAGCTCATAATATATATCTATACTTATCTGAGTTGTCCAGGTTCCCGCGGGAATCTAGCAATCCTGCTCCGCCTTTATGTCTACGCAACCCAGCCTTCGATGAACTTAGCCGTCGCCAACTTCCTCCGACAGACCCTCTCGACAACTGCCGCTTTCCAGCACGATCCAGACGAGGTGGATCTATGGCTGCGTGCACTGCCCACAACCAGACGCTTTGTGGGTGCGCAAGCGCCGGACGGCACGCCCTTGACAGACGAGGGCGAGGCTGTCATCGCTCTCCTCGACGATTGTCTGCAGCGCTGCATTAAGACGCCATACCGCTACCTTGAAGAGCTACAGGCAATCTGTACCCCTTCGGACTCCAGCGCGTGGGACCCTTCGCTTTTGCCAAGTCCAATGCTCGTCACAGTCCTCGAGCAAGTGCAGGCAAAAGTGAACGGGAACCACATAGTGCCGTCGGACACACTCGCCATTGTCACCTTCGTGCGGAAGTTGGCAATGAGTCTAGTCAGTAAGTTGCCAGAGCTGGGGGTCCTTGATGCTATTGCGAAGCGGTTGCAGGCGCTCAGTCTTGACGACAAGCACTTTGGCAGGAGCATGCGCAAGGCAATTGCGAGGGAATGTCGGCTCCTTGCGTTGATGAGCGGACAGCTGGCATCACTTGTGATACAGGGGGCTATGGAAGAAGACGATGGTGAGGTTGAGAAGCTGCTGAGTAGACTGCGGGAAGTCGGTATAGGTGGGTCTCGTTTTGCAAGCTTCCTTGAGATTTAAATTGAGCTCATTGCGTAGAGCCGGCTGAATTAAGAGAGAAAGCCGCGTACGAAGCAGTCGACTGGTATAGGTTGATGGACCCATCCTTGTCAAGCCAGCAGTTCAGTACGCTTGTCTCAGTCCTCGAAGAACTGCACAAGCCCGCTTTGACGGCACTCTTCGACTTTGTTCCGCCTGGGCAGGATCTAATCTTGGGAGTTGGGGAGCTAGCGGCGAAGCTGTCAACCTTGCAGTGCGAACATCCTTTCCCCTGTCTGCGACAGCTACCTGACCATCGTTTTTTTAGATGTGACTTCACTACACTGTTCCTCCACACGGAGCTCTCCGAGCTCGCCAATAAGCCTTCACGATATACACTAATCCAGGCTGTTCCAGTTATCACAGCTACCGCTCTTAGGCGTATATTCCGACTCATTGGCCATCGGCTCGTCTCAATGAAGCCCTCAGATGCAGAAAACTTGCTTCACCTGCTGGCAGAATTGATTTGCAAAGTTAGACGTGTCGCAGCCTCGGTCCTCATGGACACCCTGCATTTTCTCTTCGAGCTAGAGGGCGTGCAGCACATCTGTCATTCTGCTTTACCCGCATCTGTGAGATCAGGCATGTGTTGGCCCTTCATGTTGTCAGGTCCTGGAGCTCATAGCACCATCGCAGGCTTGACTGACTTTTTAAACCAGGCCGTCGACGGGAGGGATGGTAACGACCAGGATCTAGTCCGGGGGTTCGCCGAGTATTGGACCAGCATTCTTACACAGAGTCTGGACTCTTTGTCTGACGAGCAAGTACGAACATCTGTCTCATGTGGTCGCTCGCGCTTACTTCGTTTGCAGTTCCACACTTCTGTCATCTGGTTGCAAGTTATGACAACACCGCAGGTGCTAAACCTACTGGATCATCTTTCTGTGGATCGCTCGAATGAGCGAGTTCAACTGGCGCTTGAGGCGATCCTGAATAGGCTGTCGTGCACCGTAGAACGCGCCGATATATCGGGACTTATATTGCGTCTTCCTTCTCTGCTGCGTCTCCAGCACTCCATGCCCGGCTGGGAGAAGGTCATCGCTATCGCAATTGATGGCTATCTCCCCTCATTTTGCGACGGAAGTTTTTTGACTGGCCCCAGCAGCTCGTCGACGGTCGCTGTCCTCATCTCGGAGGCGTCTAATCGTTGGAGGTCTTTTGCACATAACAAGCATCCCGTCGACGTTCGCCTCTTCCTCGAGCAGCGGACCTGGACAGACCTCACGGCGAGTATCGTTCTACGCCTGACCTACAGCCAGGCGTCGGAGAGGCCGACTATCACGGAGTGGTTCCGTGTGGGTGGTTGGCAGGCGCATCCCATTGCACGTGCTGTGCCTGTTCTGCACGCCTTGTTGGATACTTACCTCCCACTATCACCCTTCGCGGATAAAGACGAGGACATCCTCATCTCGCTCTGCAAGGGCATATGCAATGAGATGCTGGCTCAACGCAGTGAAGACCTGCAGATTCGATGCAAGTTCTGCGTTGAGATGATACTCAGTATGCATCCATCTGTGCGCCCTCAGGTCTCCTCACACCTCGACGCTCACATGAAGACGCTTGCGGATTGCTTCAACTCGGCTCTATTCTCTCTTGCAGTCCATCTCGATGCGAAAGGTTCCCTCGGAAGCAGTGCAATTGAATACGGGCTCCAGTGGGCCGTGTCTGCACTGTCTTCAACAGAGACTGCATTATCGGATCTTGATGAAGACCTGGAAGAGCTACGTCGCGGGTTGGAGGTCGCGAGCCCCAAAGCGCATCACGCGGTGTCGGCCGTCACGGTGGCCATCCAAAGTCACCTATCGAACGCAAAGGGACTTCGCCTCGTTCAGACCATCTCGCGACGCGTACAGTTCAAGGTATGGTTCGATAGGCTTAGAATGGATAAATAGTACGCTAACATGTGCATTGGTAGCCCGTGACTGTGAATCGCTTTCTACAGAGCATCATCCAACATCCCAAGTTTCAAGCTGCAGCAGAATCGTCGAACGTGGAGAATCGAGATGTTAGGAACATCCTTGTCGATGTCCTGCACAGTCTCTTCCATTTGCATCCCGCGAACACCTGCCAGCCAAGTCATGTTGAGCCGCTGCTCTCCGTATATGGCGGTACCATGAGCGCCGCGGACCGCCAGCTATTGTCCATATTTCGCCTCTTTGAAGTGACGCGGAAGGTTTCCATCTCTACGCTGCTATCTCGCTGGTCACTCGCATCAGATGTGACGTGCACCACTGCGCTGGAGGCTATTCAGCACCTCGATCCGGCGCGGGTCATAAAGACATGCATATCATTCCCACAATACTACGCCGGCTCAGTGATGGAGGACGACGATGGGTCTTACGACGAGCGGCTCTATGATCCCATCTTTATCATATTACTATTCTCGTGCATGCTGACGACTAGCGTGCCCGCAACAGCCCTCGCGTGGGTGCAGATGTTCCGAACAAATATTGTCAGCTTACTCATCCGGGCCTTATCCTCACATCGAGAAGGCGTGCGTGCTCTTGCGATGTCCCAGCTTGCAGGCTTGTATTCGAACTTGCAGGTAAGACTTCGGTGCAGCGTAATGTCCGAGTTAGTTAACCGACAACATTTCCAGGATGCTGACATGCAAGAAAAACCGCACGTTATTTATATCCTCGACCTGCTCAAGAACGTCTACAATAACGACACCCATGATGGACAGTCACCCCGAATCCCAGCGTATACGACTTTGCACCTCGCTCATGCGATGCGCGGTGTTTTTTATCCTGCAGCATTCATTTACCCATTGACCGCTCGGTTCCTGCTGCAGCGACATGAGTTCGACACAAGCGACGTCCCCTTATTGTACACCACGCTGTACAGCGCCGGTGACCAGTGGAAGAAGGAGCGGATATGGATCGTGCGGTTCCTCGCCGATGGTCTGGTGGGCAGGCAGGAATGGCGTGTCCTTAAGAGGCGACATACATGGGACCTTCTGGCGAGCATCTTCCAGAGCGAGAGCCATGACCAAAATCTTAAGCGCGGTGTCCTCGAGGTACGACCATCGGTTCTTCCAAAGTAAACGTGCGACTGAGAGAGTGGCGTCTATTCTAGCTGTTGGCGAACCTGACCTGTAATCAGGCTGCGGCTAGGTCTCTAGTTCTAGGCTCTGGTCTGCTGTCATGGATTGAGCTGCAGCTTCAGAATGTCAAGCCTGGGGAAGGTCTCGCTTGGGTCCGGATCCTTGAGAACATTCTCGTTGTCCTGGATGTGACGAGGCTTAATGTGTCGACAGCCGGCGAGTGGCGTTCAGTCCTGAGCAGAAGCCTCCTCAGGCTGTTAACCAGTTCTGGTATGTCACCTTTTCGTCCATGCTCAATGCGCGCCGCTGAGGCGCGTGTCTACACAGCTTGTGACAAAGACATCCTCGCGCATGCTGTCAACATCATATTGCGACTCAGCACGACCGCAGAATTGCCCTCAGAGCTTGGCGACCTGGTTGCAGCATCGCTCATACATTTAGAAGGCCTCGAGAAAGACCTTCAGTCGAAGCCAATAGTCGCACCGATATCGGCACTCAAGGCGCCGCATTCTTCTGATATGCTCTGGCGAACTCTCGACGTCAGTATGCTCTCTCTCTGGGGTTTTTGCGTTGAGAACCTCTGGAGGGCCACGATGTCCATGGACGATAAACTGGCATCATGGGATACGTTAACAAGCAGGCTGCTAGTGTGGCGCGCGCTCGTAGGTGAAGCTTCACGAGTCGGCGAGTGGGCAAGAAGGGAAGTCATCCGCAATCTGAGTTCATGAAGTGCTGCTCGTTCTTCATGCATCATGTTATAGAATGTGCGATTGCATTCATTTACGTTTCAATCTTCACCACACTTTCTCCATGTGACCGTGAGACGACCGCTAGTGTTCTGCGTCTATCAGCGTGATGCGTCCTTGCCGTTTTCCGTCCATAATTGCTTTATCCCAAACAACGAGTTGCCAGCGCGCTTTAGAATAGAGTATGGAGGAGCAGAAGATAGCAATCTCGGTGCCCAGACAGATACATGAAGATATCGTCCTCTTGCAAGGGCAGGAGATTATCCGCATACGGGAACTACTCCAGACTTCCGAGGTAAGCGTTGCGCTTGTGGTAGTGATAAGTCTCCCTATATTTATAAACACTATTATCTTAGCCTCGTCTCGACGCCCTTCGAGAAGAGAGCGAGCGACTCACAACCGAGCATGAAGAAGCATTGGTACGTATGAGCACGTGCATCATGATATATCTGAAGTTAATGCCTACTTTCGCAAATGGAACACAGAAAGAGCTCGAAGAATTGCGGTCGCGTCCTCCGCCAGAGCCTCCGGCGCCGCCTGAACCCCCGAAGCCTCCTACCATCGATGAGATTGTTAAACTTGTCTCGCCCAGGGCCGCGTTCAGGAATGCGCAGCGCTTGCCCGCGTATGGTACCTTCCAAATCCCGGCTTTCCACGTCGGACGTAGTCCGCGGAGATGCGTGAACGCCTTAAAAGACGTATGTCTTCCCCTCGACTCATCATCCCGCAAGCAGGCTGACCCCATAACTCTTTGTCCAGCGCGTGTAAGCCAGCTCACCCTTCTCCGCAATGTCAGATGGCTGATTGTCGCGCACATGCAGTGGCTATCTGCGAGTCGTCATCTTCCGGGGTGGCGAGGGGCAGTGGCTCGAGCACTATAGCACTTGCATCGTTGTCCGTTCGGACAAGCGGCGCAGGCGGGACGGTTCCTGGGCTGACACGAAGCTCCTCCGACCACACCGGAGCGTGAACGTCGTCGCGAATCTCTTCGGGCGGTGGTACTACCTCGGTACGTATCAGTGTGCTGCGGTTGCAACACTGGACGCTGAGGCGTGGGAGGATCTGCCTGAAAAAGTATGTGTGCAGTCTTGGCCGTTGAGGGGAGTTAACGATTTGCAGTCTCAGAGAGGCGTGCTCAGGTTTATGGCGCACAACGACGACCGGCGTGAGGCAAGGGACGGAATACTGCGGGGGGACGTGGGCCTGCATAGGATAGAGCTCCGCCGCGTGAGCTTCGACGAAGCTGTCCAGGATGCGCTGGTCACCGCGGGCAAGAAGCAGGTCGAGAATGCAGACAGCGACGGCTCATATGGGTCCGATGGGGAGGCGTATGGTTAACATGGCTATTTTTTATGTCTGGAAAGTAGTACATATGTACGTTGTAGAGCACAAGACGTCGAAGAAACAAACGCTGTGTCGCCGGGCGGGACGGACTCGGAGCCTATGAATTGCTGATGCGCCAACACCTGTATAGCTGGAGTGGCACTTCTATTTATTCAATTTCACACTTGTTGCTGCTGACCACATTAACAGCCTCGAACTGTTATGCGTCGGTTGGCTCATCGAGGGGGGGGGGAGAATAGGGAAACGGGCCTGGAGATCAGATGAACGCTGAATTGCCTCGTGTCGCTGCGCGTGAGTATTAGTAACTGCTGCATTGATCCACTCGGCACAATTTAACCCACTCACTCAGTGCCGACTGCCATGTCTCTGCAACCCGTCTCCGCCGGTGTCCTCCAGGACGTAGTTGCTCTGCAAGGGAACGAGATCATACGTTTGAAGGCTGCACTTGCGGATGCGCGGGTGCGTCAACACATCGGAATACGAACTAATAGCGCTCACATCGATGTGCGATGTAGCAACGTATTTCCACCCTAAGGGAAGAGATTGCAGGGCTTAAAGGAAATCAGTCCGTGCCATCTGTAGATTCTAAAGCAGGCTCGAAGCCACCGTCGTACAACGATATCACTCTCTGTCCTGTGGATGATGGAGGGTTAAACGCGGCGGCCCTTAAGCACTTCAAAAATATATTGAAGTCGTTGGGTACGCCGAAACCTGTAAGCTGTTTCTTTCTTCTTCATAGGCCGCAGCCGTTGAAGATCTGAATAGAGTAGATGTGTTTTCAATGCCCGCTCCGCTACCGTGCGCTGGGAAGACGGCAGATTCGAAGTGTTCTCGATAATCAAACCGGAGTCCCGCTTATTGAAGAAAGGTGGATGGAGCGACGTCCATAACAGTAAACTCCGAGGCAGGCTTGAAGTATTAGGCGAGCTCTCGGGCAACTGCTATTACCTTGGGAGATACCAGGCCACCCATAACGAAGCCGTAGCCCCGAACGAATATCCTACTCTACCTAAACCAGTGTGTAATCCGCGATCGTCTCATTATCCGACTCTTGATAATATGCATTCTCTACCCAGATGCAAGACGCAATACTCCGCTGGTCGTGTTCGAAGACACACAGGTCTAGCGTACAGCTTATGCTCACGAAGGGAGAGCTTCCCTTGCGGCGGTTCTTCCTCCGACGAGAAAGCTTCGATCAGGTGCTCTACGAACGCCTGCTCGGCACTGCACCCAGCCCAGCTCTCGCTCTGGCTGAGCGCAGCGCAGAACATGGTGCTTCGGACGGCGAGGAAGGTTCCGATGACGACTAGTGGACGGAGGACTATTCCCTCTTGCAGTTTGTATTTTCTTCATGTATCTAATCGCCTGCTGTGCGACTATCTTCTAAATGATAAACGTAACTACGGAATGACGGTTACCCAAATCACGCAAAGTGCAACGTGTCCAAGGAGCGATAGAGTTCAGCTCTGCCGCTATTGGCCTCGTGAGCACTTGAGTGCGTGTTCGTCTCTGATTTGCCACCCCGTCTCTCAGTTGCCTCACTCCGAGATGGCTACTGCCCCAGCAATGCTGTCAGAAGATATTCTTCGGGATGTCGTTGAGTTGCAAGGCAAGGAGATCGCTCGGCTGAGAGCACAGCTAACCACTGCGGAGGTGGGTTTACGCCTTACGTCAGCCTGGAGAGATCGTGCTCATACAAGGATACAAGGAGCGCATCCGGGCATTGGAGCAAGGAAAGAGCAGTCTGCAGCCCTCTAATGCGAGCCAGGCTGACAGAAAGCCACACTGGGCGGTATGATGTACTCCATGTTAGCAGGCGATACATGCCCTCACAGACTTGTACGACAGAAAGGTCCGCAGAATAGTAGCAATGAATCCAGGGAACCAGGCACCGCTGGAAACACTATGGACATTCCGTTCTATCCTCCATCTTATAACGGCGAGCTTCTGCACTCGTTCGGACAGGGCAAACGCGCAAGACAGCGCTTTACAGAAATTAGGGTACGTGGGAAGTGCATTCGTCCGGGATAGTTTGGATGCCACTCCGTGCTAATTTTCCTGCACAGGGGTCCTCACTACCTGGCCTCCGCATCAAACAAGGCGATCTGATTCCCGAGGAGGGCTGCGAGTTGGTATGCATCCTTAAGCCGCTCATGCGCATGACCAAACGCGGCGGTATGTCATCAAGTGGCCCCAGCAAGCAGAAATACCATCGCGCCAACGAGGTTGCGGTCAAATTGGGGGTAAACTGGTATTATTTGGGGAGATACAGATGCGCCAAAGAAGACAACCTCGACGCCTCGGGATACCATGCGCTCTCTAGCGGGGTACGCCTTCCAATGTCTAACACTCTCGTCTCTTGAATCTGACTTCGTTGCAGGCCAAGCAAGCGCTCGTGCAGTCGTGTGGCCCCAAGAAGCATCACACGACCATCGAGGCTAAGCTTTGGAGCGGCGATATTGCTGTCAGGCGCTATCATCTCCGCCGTGAGGGTTTTAACGAGGATTTATATCGACGCTTGCTCGATGCTGCCGCTGGCGGCAAGCTGGACGTCGCTGATGGCGGTGCGGAGCTTGGGTCTGACGGAGCAGACGAATCTGGAGATGCTGATGAGTAGTGCAAGAAGTTCGTGGTTAGGTTCTTGTGACGGAGAGCGCGACAGCCCGTACATGTCTATTTTCAATACGTATATTCGTCTTCGTGGGGAACATAGCACCGTTGAAACGATTGTGCTGTACAAGCTCGCTTATGCTCTGCGAACAAAATACTACTTTTCTTCATCACAGTCTTCTTCAAAATCCTCGACATCCTCGTCCCGCGCCGACGGTCCAAATCTTGCATGCACTTTCAACAAGGCCGCCTGGAAGCGTTCGTCATATCCAACGCGGCGCAGCGTTAGTTGTGTGAGTGGGACGCCTCCGTTACGGAGCATCGTCGCACTCTCCTCACGGGTCGTCTGGTTCGTGTCTACGCGTGCGAGGACTGCGCACTGCATCTACACGCACATCCAATCCAACTCCACATTAGCGCGCCGCACATTCGTCTCACGAAAGGAAGCATGTACCTCGCGTGATAACCGCTTAAATGCCGCGACATCGACTGACCTGCGGTGTTGGCACTTGAACTCGCCCATGTAGAACGCACGCCCGTCGAGCCGCGCGACAACGTGATGTACGCGTGCGAACTGCGCGTGCGCCGACGCGGCGCACCATTGTCCGTCGGGCATGCGCTGCACGTCCGCGCGCAGGACTGTGCAGGTGTCATACGATGCGTCCCACTGTGTTTCATCACCGAGGCGCACAAGGGCGCGTTTCGCGGGGGGCCTACACAGGGTGTGGTTAGATTGGTCATTGAATTGAGGAAGAGATGCAAGGCGCACCGTGTCTGCAGGCGAAGGCGCGTCTGTCGTGGGGCCATGCTGAGTGCGGACGCGGCTTTGTGGAGATACGCTGCGGGTATCTTCGTGCCGGTGTGGAAGGGAGTGATTGTTGCTTTCTTGTATATTGGTGTGCGCAGCGGGCGGTAGGGTCGGTAATCGTCTGTCTGTAGGTTATGCTCGTTGATCAGTGCGCGTGCACCATTAAGGCGGCTCGTGAGGTCCGCCTGGGCAACCTGCGCGTGTGGGAGGTGAGAAGAAAGAAGGGATCAGCGAGGAGAGTAATGCACATACCTTCAAAGCTGTCATGTCCTCTTGAAGACTTTTGTTCAGTGCCTACGAAGCGAGCATCGACTGAGCATGGCGGGATGCACGGAGAAAGGAAGGCACGTACCTCTGCACGACCAAGCTCCCCTGTGAGCCTCCTAATCTCGTCGCCTTGTTGGTTCATGAGTGCCTCTATGTCTGCTCTTGTCAGATTACTGGGCGAACGCGACATGACGGGGATGGAATAAAGTTCAGGTCTTGCTTTCAGCTGTCAGCTGTAGAGTGATGGTCAGCTCATATGCTTCTCGCCTATCGCAGCCGCTTTTATAGGTGTGCGCGTAAGCTGAGAAATGTTCAAGGCTTTGCCACTGCCGTAATCATTGCGCCATGTATCACAGCAAAACGTAGATATTGGCTCGAGCTGCCACTCATGTAAGCTCTGCCTTTGTCTCCATATGCATACGACGAACGGATGCAGGGCAGGGCGGACACGTGTCGAGATAAAAACTCGCTGTGACACCGGTACTCACATCTTGTTCGTGTGCGCGAGTCAAGGACTAAGATGAGCGGCAGACTTGAACCAAGGCACGTCCTAACGCGAACGCGCTAGTACCCAGACGCGCTCCTCACGTGATGGAGCACGTGATGCATTGCGCGACGAGCACGCCATCGAGTGCAACGGCGGCGAGCTCGCTGCAGCCCGCTGCGCCACATAATCTGTCTCTTGCCTTCGTTCCGCCATCTTCTCCTGTCTTTTGTCCTCCCCTTGCTCGCCAGTTACCGTAGGTCGTAAGTGGATGACTCCACATCGATCGTGTGCATCTCAGCACCTGTGGACTCAATATAGACTCGCATGGTGGCAGCAATGGTGCAAGGGGTTCAAATGAGCTACTGAGATGTAGCCTAGAGGTGGTGTTCTTGACGAGGTGCTCAACAAGTGAGTTTAACAATCGTTAGTCTGAGCTTACACCTACCTTCAGACCCCCTGCTCTCCTCAACAGGCTCTTCTGGCCATTTGCGCCCTGTTAAACCTCTCGCCACATCGACACCTGCTGCTCATCGTTGGGCTCCCCCTCGCGGGTCCGTGCATCTCACGTATCTGCCCCAGACTCTTCAGACCCCCAAACCTCGCTTTGCAATACTCTCGCGCGTATTGGATGGTAGTCGTCTGATCGTTCCGTGCCTCGTGTCACCCCTCGAACACATGTCTCGGCAATGGTTCCAAGACTGGAACTACGAATACTTCCCGTGTCATACGCTTCGTCGACTGTGACATACTCGCACCCCTAACTGTGCCGCCTTACCTCCACGCGTTTGATACCGCTGGTCTTATCGCTGACGTATACGCCACACTGGCCGAAAGATTTCTACTGCCGGGCAGTTTCACCACGGCATAGATTTGCCCGCTTGGATGAACAGCACTGCGAGCTGTCCCACGCCCGCCAAGCGCAAGTTGTCGGCCGGGGCCTGTTCTGTCACACCCTCGTTCTCGTGCGCTACCCTGTTCAGACTTCCATCTTTCAGCATCCCCTTCGCGCCGTATCCACTGACTGCTACCGCAGTCCTCTTCCTCTGGATACTCCCACACATTGTGCGGAGCTAGAGTCGAACCTGGGGACAGATCATGCGCGGCTACATCACTGTCTCACTCGGAGGGCGCGGTTGGGAAACGTAATGGCGTCGGAGCTTTCTGCGCGTTCGATCTATACTGTCCTCGTGCTGCGTGTGCACCTGTCGCACCGCCGCTTGCCTTGCCGTGGCCGCCGTCTCCGAGTACAGAAAGGGTTTTTCTTGAGATGTTTGTTGGCATTTGCTCACGTCTCTGTATTTAGTCCATCTACTGAGTATAAAAGACATACTTGTCCTATCCTTCCTGCAGAGCACATCGCTCTTTCCCCTTGACCAAACTGACATATTCACCTTTGGCCGCACCAACAACATCGAAAATGCCTTCTCCCCTCTCGTTTCACTCACTCTCCGACAGCATTGTGCACTCGGACCACTCGGACCACTCAGACCTCTCGCGCTCCGCCTCGCCCTCTACTGCCCCTTCGACTCCCCCGTACGTACCGACCACACACTTTATCATCACCACGCCCGCGACGCCGATCATACTTGGCTCGCTTCCTGTGCAAGTCGGTGCAGACCGCGTGCTGCTGTTTAGCGGCAAGGGTAAGCTTGGCGAGTTGCTCGCGCAGGCAGAGGAGTTTATGGGAGAACAGTACCTTGAGGGCAAGAGCCGATGGGAATGCGTACTAGGTGAAGGCGATGTATCCTACTATGCTACGACGTACCTTGTTGGCGGCATCGATATTGCGGAAGTGGGAGTCGATATGCCTATGGTATGTGATTTGTTCCATGTATCCGCCACTCTCGGCTGATTTGTTCTTGCCCAAGGCGACTGAATCCTCCGTTTCAAGCCTCGCAGCCGCCTCTAACCTGCGCCTCATTGTTTCCCTCACCTCGCCGTCCTCGCTTACACTACACATCCTCGAACGCCCATCCTTTACCTTCTCATCTCTCACTGCTTCAAACCCGTATGGTCTACCCTCGCACGATGAGTTTGCAGCAGTGTGGCGTGCGTGGGACAATATCACACTCGGCATGATCCCTGCCGCGCTTCTGCACGCACAGCCGATCGAGTTGCGCCACCGCCCTCTCTTCTACATAGGACACCTCCCGACGTTCAACGCGCTCCTTCTCACGAAGAAGCTCGGGATTCCGATGGCGGAGCCCAAGTGCTACGCGCGCATCTTCGAGCGCGGAATCGACCCGGATGTGGACGACCCGACGAAAGTGCATGGACACAGCGAGGTGCCCGAGAAGGACGAAGATTGGCCGACGCTCGCGGAGGTGCTTATGTTTAGGGATCGCGTCCGCGAGCTGGTCGAGAAGACGCTTAAGGAGATTGAGAGTGGGGAAAGGAGCATGGGAAGGAGGCTCGTTAGGACGCTCATGATGATGCATGAGCACGAGGCATGGCACCTTGAGGTGTGTCCCACCCGCTGATCCCGTGTGAAAACATTCTTTGGCTGACAATCTGTCGGTAGACATTACTCTATATCCTACTACAGTCTCCCGCCACCCGTCCTCCACCCGGCTTCACGCAACCACCTTTCGCGCATCTCGCACAGCAGTGGGCCAGCGTCCCGCCGCCAAACACGCCACACGCAGAGATCGAGGGTGCAGTCACGTTGGGGTATGACGACCAGGAGCCCGAGGATCTCTCTGACGCACAAGAAGTCGCGGCCAACACGACACATGTATTCGGGTGGGATAACGAGAGCCCAGCGCGCGCGGTCGACGTGCGCCCGGTGCACGTTGAGTGGCGGCCTGTAAGCAATGCCGACTTCTACGTCTTCTGGCGCGCTCAGGAGGGCAAGATCGAAATGCCGAAGAGTTGGGTGCTTGAAGACGACGAAGTAAAGGTATGCGTCTTTGTTGGTGGTGTTATCAAGGTGCTGATGACGATGTGCACAGGTCAAGACATTCTATGGCGCGCAGCCGCTCAGTGTCGCAGGTACCTGGCCGTGCCTCGCATCATATGATGCCCTACTCGTGTTTGCTCGGTCTAAGGGCGGCCGGATCCCCACTGAACCTGAGCTCCGTCTGTTCCTCGACAAGTACCACATTGGGTACGACGAAGGTGCGAACATGGGCTTCAGGAGCTGGCATCCAACTGCGTGAGTCCCTTTGTCCTTCACGAGGGATGACAGTACTGATCGGGCGCCTTAGACCGACAGCAGGGCTTGCAGAAAACGGCGGCCGGGGGAGCAACGGCGGCGTATGGGAGTGGACAAGCACAGCGCTGGACGCTCATACCGGCTTTGCAGGCACGGGGATATTCCCTGGCTACAGCTCAGATTTCTTTGACAGAAAGCACATGGTCGTTGTACGTCTTCTTTTTATTTGTGTCATGTGTAGGTGTTGACAAGGCGAGTCCACAGCTTGGCGCGTCGTTTGCGACGGCCCCGCGTCTTGGTGAGCGGCGCACGGTGCGCAACTTCTACCAGCATAACTATCCGTATCCTTGGGTTGCCGCGCGGGTGTGTTATGACATCTGAGCTGGCCTTAAATGAGTTCAGGATTTTATAGCAGTTTTCTAATCATATTTACAAGTTTTGTATGCATTCCTTCGTTCTACTGGTATTACTACGATTACTATAACGCCTTCGTTGACCCTTTCATTTCCTGCGACCTGTGACCCTGTGACTTTTATACTGCCCCATGCCGAAACACGCTCGACCGACGTTATTTCCTCAGATGATGCGCCCCCTGAGTCCGTCGGTCGTGTCCGTGTCTCGCCCGACGTCATTTTACCCAGTGATGCACCTCCTGAGTCCGTCGGTTGCGACTCCGTGTCAACTGCTGCCCGGTCTCCTAACGCTGCTGTTCATCTCGGGACCTCAGTGGATCTTGCATATCTAGGCACAGCTTTTCACGCGGTCTGTCCACGTGCACGCCGTCTCTGTCCCGTAGCTCCGTTGCCAAGCATGACTGTGCGCCCTGGAGAGATACATAGCACCACAGTGACAGTCACCGCATTCTCCCTGCTCTCCTTCTCTCCTCTCCCTCAGCATCATGCCTCAATCTGCTCTCATCTTCGGCATGACTGCTGTTGCTAGTGGTCATCACATTCACTCCACCACTCCCACTGGCTGAGTCACCTATCACTGCGTTTACAACACAGTTGTCAAATTGCTTAAATGTGCAGGCTCTTGTATCTCCTCCATTCCTGCTGAGCTTTGTGTCTACAGCCCTCATGAGGACTTCCCTACTCCTGATGACACTGTGGTCTTCATTGTTGCATGGGTCTATGCACCTATTGAAGTTTTGGTCCTGCTCGAGGCCATTCACGTTGTCATAAAGAAAAGGTTAGGGTAAGGAAAGTAAGTAAAATAAAAAGGAGGCTTGGTATAAAGAAGATTCTAGGAGAATCCTAGAAGGTTACTTCTTGATAAAAGGGAATGGGGTTTGGTCTGAAGTTCTAAGCTAAAAGCAAGAAGGGTATAGTATGAAATACTTAGATTTGGTTTTCCCAATCTTTTCTTTCCAGGGTTCACTGGGTTAGCCTTTCAACCAAGCTATTCTGGTGTTTGTGGGAGACTAATTTAAAGACCACCTACTAATCTGCTTGATTATTCTAAAGCTCCACTTGCCTGTTTACAAGGGACTCTTGAGGAATCTTAGAAGATGGGCTGTAAGAAGGTTTAGTTAGTAGCTTAAGGACTAGCTACTTGGGTTAGTAGAATAGAGTTTTTAGATAAGTAAGATAAGAGGGTAACAAAGACAAGTTAATGTCTTGGTTAACTTAGTAAGCTTTGGCTAGTAAGGACAATTCAATGTCCTTAGAGGATTTGTATAACTTGAAGCAGTCTGAAGCTTTCAATTTAGAGTTGAAGATCAAGAATACATTTTATCTCTTTACTGCTAGTCTAATTACTGTAAGCTCTACAGGAGACATACCACAGTTTCAAATAATGACGCCACTAGCTCACACAGTTTAGGGTTAGTCAAATAGTGAACTCGTGCACTATACCAAGGGTGTTTTCCTTCAGGTTATTTGAAAGTCAGAGGCTTTACTGTGATTAAGGAATTTCCTAGGCTTTAAAGAAAGGAGTCTATTCTCTAAAAGCTAAAGAGCTCAGGAAATTAACTGCAGGTTTGCTGCTAGCTAAATCCTTGAGAGAGAGAGTGGTGCTTGGTGGGTTGTTTTCTTTGCTCTCAGAGAACCTCTCCTATTTATACCTTTCAGCCTGTTGTTTCTTAGCCAATAGCAAAACTGGCTCTTCTATTCTATTGTAATTACTAAGCTACTTCTACTTTTATTAATAAGCATTTGTCTGTATTAGTCAGCCTTCTGTCTATTTTACTAATGTATTGGTAAGCTATTACTAATGTTTGTTAGAGTATTACTATATTTTGATAATTCATAGCTGTTGAGCATAGACCTTTATTACTAAGCATAGTTTAAATTACTAAGAAGCTGAGTCACATTATTAGCTGTTGATTCACTTTTAGTAAGCTTGAGTGTTTATGCTTGCTTTGCAGCTCTGAGTAAGCAGTCTCTTTTTAATTTGAATACCTAGCTTATTTCTTTAGTTTTCCTATACTTATAGTTATGGCACATGACAACATCTATTCCTTCCCTGGCAATCCTTCCAAAAACAAGTATAACAAATATTTGCCCAATATCCCCCTGCATTTTCTTGAGCTCAGAGTGGTTTGTTCTGTGCAGGATGGGACTCCTCTTGATAAAAGCAAATGTTTCACCATTGAGGTTTCAGATCATGTGCAAGACAAGAAGAAGATGTTCATGGTTGAGTGCATCTGTGCGATTCATGCTCACCTGTATTTCACTGATGTCAATCATCAGAGCAATGTTCAATAGATCCACCTCTCGCTGGACTCACATTCCACCATGCAAATTATTAGCACCTTGAGCAAATTTTGCCATAACAGCATGCTCATCATCAGGGTTGAGTCACTGTTGTTCAACACTCTGCCACTTGCTCTCAATCCTGCCATCAGCACTGGTCTGGAAACTGGCCCTGGTGAGAAGTGCAAGTATAAGGTTTTTATAGCTCCTCCATGCATTGTTTGCCTGTCTGTGAGGCTGTTTACTCAGGAACTCTGACCAGCATGTGTTACAATGGACATGGTGGTGTGGGATATCATTTCCTTTTTTGTCTCTGACTCAGTTCTAGTAGTATTGGTACACATCAACTCATAGAGCACAGCTTCACTGACTCACCCGCAGTCTCTTTAACTAGTAGACTAGTCCTTAGGTTAGGTTGAGCAGTAGTATATATACCCCACACATGTACAGTAGTCTCTCAGCTTTTAGCTCCTTTGTAAATCCATGTTTCTTTATTCTGCTCCAATCTCATCTGTAGATAAGGTGATCAGACAAGCTTCAGGCTTGCTAAGAAACCTCTGCCATAACATTCGCTGAAAGCTTCTCAACGGGGTTGCGATTTCTGAATGTAATGAAGAAATGTTCTGTTGGAAGTAGCACTTTGGGAGTCAGTTCACTTCTTTGCACAAATTTTCCCCTTGCTCTACAGCTTGCTATACTTAAGCTATTGACCTAAAGCTTGGGTCACATATACCTCTAGCATAAATCTACATGTGAAAATTTGTTTTATCACATATGGATCAGTTTTGGCCCTTCAGCACTATGTTTTGTGCTTGAGTTCAGGACTTAGATAAATTTCACAAACAGACCACTTTCAAAAGGCACAACATTTAGATGATTTTTATACCATCAGATAGAGCCTATTGAGAGGGTTCGGAATATGTAAAAATATATACCAAATTAGTTGTTTAAAGGGGCGAACCAAAGAGAATAAAGCGCGAGAAAACGCCAGATTAAGCGCCCTATAAGCGCCACAGCATGGTCTGCCTTCTTTATCACTTCTACTCTTCCTCACACATCTTTATCTGTATATACCATATATTCTGAGGTCCACTATGTGTATATCACCTATGTTATGTACTATGGAAGTAGTTTATGGCCATGTTCAATGATAAAGTGCTTGCCACTGGCTTTGACCCTCAGTACATAGTGTTACACAATGAATTGTGGGCTTCATAGTTGATGAACTCTTTTGATTATTTTGTGCTAGAATCCTTATATCATCCTTAATGTGCGTAAATATATATAGAAATACTGCAATTTAGTTAGAATTAACAAAAACTGTTTCCATGATCTGCACTCTTAGTGCTCTCTACAAAGCAATACTTGGTCATAATTCACAAATATATTCAAGATACATCTATTACAATGTGTCCAAAGTATTATACTCCAACATTGCTCATAATTGCACATATAAGTTCATAATACGGCATATAGTCATTATCTTGTGCATGAAATTTAATCTCTCAAGCTTCCAGACTCAGTAGCTGTTTGACTCTATTCTACCACCTTAAAATTCCCATACATATCTTATAGAAATATTAAGTCTCATTATCTGTCATAGTATCACTTTATTTCAATGCTCAAAACTGGGATTTTTCGAAACAAAAAGCTCTCCCAGCCAGAATTGAACTCTTAGCCTCTATCCAACTATCTATGCTAACCTCACTTGTCAAGGCATGCAAGTCAGCAGAAAGGAAGACCTTATTCTTGAACACTGCCAGAGACTCAATTAGAGCTAAGCTACATGCGATAGATTCTGTAGAGCTTCTACTGCATATTAATGAGGGTACTGAGATTTATGAGCTGTGTAGCTATATGCTTGAACCATTAGAGGACTTCTGGCACAATGAATACATGTGCACATCATGTGGAACCAGTCAGACAATTGGTAGAAGCAAGAACATGATCTATTCTGACTTGCTCCTTGCATGTTCCCTATACAGATGGCAGAGGCAGGGCATCATGAGTAGACCTGTTGATGAGAGAATTCTACTAAAGTGGTTACATGCCAACACAAGACAAATAGCCAATACAACATGCAGTAGCTGTGGTATCAAGCTAGTAAAGAAGGTAATCATAGATAATATACCTCAATTCCTTAAGTTCAAAGTTGACGAAGTTACTGTTAAGTGTACTTTTATACTGGACTTGAACAGGTGCAAGTACAGGCTATATAAATTTATCTATTATGGCAATGAGCACTTTATAGCAAGGATAGTTAGCACTAACTAGCAAGTATGGTATAATGATAGATTGAAGTATAATAGTATATATCACTTAGAATTTCAGCTTTATAATATGACACCAACCCAACTTGCCAATAGTCTAAATGGATATAAGCTGGCCTTTGGGTTTTATAGTCAGATGTTATAAATAAACAATATAATAGTCTGTAAGTTGTTATTATTATTTATGTGATAGGTGCATCATTTATAAGATGCACATATTAAAATGATGAAGAATTGCTGTTAACATATTTTGCAAAGTGATAAAGTGATAAATACTGCATATAGCTCTAAGTCTCATATAAATGGTAAGCTATCATAATATCTAAGTTATTATTATTTATGTTACAGCATAAAAGAAATGAAGAAATTATACCTGCCAAGTATATATGCTACAATCCACATAACCCTAGTGAACCTAAGACAGGTCTATGCCACAAAGAATAGTCAAAATGACTACCCCACGAGCAACCAGTGTAGATGACTGTGCTGCAGCAGCACACAGACATAACATCAGACCTGACGATAGGCTTGACTATCACTGATACGACTAGGAACATTGGAGAAATTATCTTGTACAACTCTGCCCCCACCCATATTATGCATACTCAGTGCCTGTATGAGTGCCACAAGAACTTGTATTCTGCAAACTAGCACAAGTAGACTTTCTTTGAGAAAGAGACAGGCTTAACAGAGAGGCCAGACTTAGAAAATAACAAGCCCAACAAATAGCTCAACAACTACTAGTCACCAGCATACCACTATCTAGAACACATATGCTACACCCATATGATCAATCTTGCAGACACAGCCAAGCACCCAGCAGGCCAGAGACCTCTACCCCTATTGAAGTAGACAATGAAGAACAATAGCAAGGGTCACTTTAAGTACTAGAAATCAGACTCGAACCATTTGACATTTCTCTGCCAAATCTCAATGTACCAATCTCACCTAAATGACAGAACAAAATATACAAAGTTATCAGACAATTTCAAACCACTTCTACAATGACAGACACAAATACTCTCATGCGAGAAATGATTGAGGCATTTCAAAAAGTAAATGAACATGCCTCTACTCTAAAGCCTCAGAAATTTGATGGCATGCAACAAATTTAGGACTTCCTGAAAGACTGTGACATTTACTTTAAAGGCAAAAACATGACCAAGAATGCAAAGAAAATTCTCTTTGTACTCAACAACATCAAGAAGAAACTGCACAACTGGTGCCGCACCAAGTTTGACAAATATGAAACCAACTTGTCATAGCCTACATGAGCCAAATTCAAGGAAGATTTTGCCAAAGCTTTTCAGAAAGTGGATAGCAAAGTTGATGTTATTGTAAAGCTCAATATAATAATGCAAGCAGACTTCAATTCTGTCAATGACTATAATATCAAATTCAATGAACTTGTCAAGAAAGTCAAGTACACTAATCCAAGCACAGATACCTATCTTCAATGCACCTATACAAAAGGACTCAAGGCTGATCTTGCTCAAACTCTTGTCAAGCAAAAAATAAAACCTACTTTGCTCCAAAAATGGCAAAAAGAAGCACTTAAGCTAGATAACGCGGAAATAAAATGGAACAAGCTTAGACGAGAAAGATAAAGAGAAAGAACTGACAGAACCACTTTTCATACTGAAGGAAACGGAGAAGAAAGAAGAACTTATAAACATGATTCTGATGCCATAGATGTCAACACCATCTCTCGAGACCAAACCTGTCACGAAGGACAATGTTTCAATTGCAAAGACAAGAGACACATTGCTAGAAATTTCCCTTTGCCCAAGAAACCCCTACAATGTGACTAGCAAGGAAAATACCAACTAACTTGCTCGCAGCAGAGCAGTCGCCCCCAGACAAATTAATGCTCTGAACAGTGGAATAAAGAAAATTCCACCAATGTCTGCACCACAACAGTCAAAGAAGAACTCAACGTTATTGATCTTGACAACGAACTCAGAGACTTGGTCAAAGAAGTAACTAAGCTCTCTCAAGATGAGTCTAAGGATCTCTTTGTCCGTTACCTCAAAGCTAATTTGAATTTTCATGTCTGAGAGTCGCCCCAATGTTAACGCCTCTTAGAATATCAATATCCTCTGTATTAATTGCTGACATGCAATCAAAATTAATGCATATTCCCATTTAAACCAGAGCAAAAGAAACTGTTGGAAAAGTCCTTGCACTAGTCAATTCAGGAGCACAAAGCAAATTCATCAATCAATGAACAGTCCAAGAACTAGGACTACAAGAAAAACCCTTGAAAAGACCAATCAAGGTATTCAATGTTGACGGAACTCCAAACAAGCTAGGGTTCATTTGCAACAAAGTTGAAATTGACATGAATGTAGAAAACCAACCTATCAAAGAAAAATTGTTAGTGACCCAATTAGGCAAGCAAAATATCATTCTTGGCATGGACTGGTTACAAGAAAGAAACTCGTTCATTAACTGGAGCAAGGGCACTTTGGACTTCTCAAAAAGAATTCAAAGATGCAAAATTGAAGAATTACCAGATGATGAAGGCAAAAGCATTAATATCCTTCCATCTGACAACTCAGTGCTCCTTAGAGAAGAAACAGAATTTGCATTCATCATCTCAGAAGAAGGACAAGTATCTACTAGAGGAACAGAAGAAGCTGCAGGACTTGATCTTTATGCAAGCAAAGATCAGATCATACTACCTCAATCTCACATGCTTATCAAAACAGGATTAAGTGCTCAAGTTCCTGAGGGAATCTATAGACAAATCGCATCAAGAAGTGGACTAGCAGTCAAAGGAATTGACATAAGAGCAGGAGTAATTGACAGAGATTATACCAGAGAAATCTGCATACTTTTCATCAACTCCAAAATTGAGGAACATAAGGTGGTCAAAGGAGATCAAGTGGTGCAACTAGTACTTGAATGAATCTCAATGGCAAAATCCAAACAAGTGAAAATCCTATTAGGAACTAAGTGGGAATCAAAAGGATTTGAATTCACTGATGCCAAATTCATACAAGAAACTCAACCAGAAGAAGTAGCCTGATATATGCTCCATCTACTCAGAAAAGGAGCACCTCTTGACTAGTCTATACACATCTCCTTGATAATCGCTTCTGAACCCATTGTGCAAGCCAAACAATGTGAAGAAGAAGACTACATCTTTGTGTACACTCCAGGAGACTCCTTCGCATACACTATGTGCACCAAACCAGAGAATATGGCCAAAGACATTGCATCTCTATGGATTAATGCAAAAATCAACCCAACAATGGCAATGGCACAACAGACAACAGAGAACATGAAAAATGAACTACCAACTGCTTATCAAGACTATTAAAATGTCTTCAAGATATAAGCAGCTGAACAATTTCCTGAATTAAGACCATACAACCATGCCATCGACCTTGAACCAGATTTTATTCCTAAAGATTGCAAGGTCTATCCACTATTGCCATTAGAACAATGGAAGCTTGACAAGTTCCTTGATGAGAATATATGAAAAGAATACATACAACCATCAAAGTTACTAATGGCCTCACCATTCTTTTTTGTTGGAAAAAAGGATAGAACACTTTGGCCGTGCTAAGACTACTAGTATTTAAACAATGGCACTATTAAAAATACATACCCACTCCCACTCATCTCAGACCTTGTCGATTAGCTCAAAGAATTAGGCATATTCACCAAGCTTAATTTACAAGCAGAATATAACAACATATGAATCAAAGATGGAGATCAATGGAAAACAGCCTTTAAAACAAACAGAGAATTATTTGAACTAACAGTCATGTTCTTTGGACTATGCAACTCTCTGGCAATATTTCAGGCAATGATGAATGATCTATTCTGTGACATGGTCAATGAAGGATGGCTAGTCATATACATGAATGACATGCTTATCTATTTATCCAATTAAGACAAACACAAAAAGTGAACATGAAGAGTTCTTTAAAGACTTTGCAACAATGACCTTTTTCTCAAACTTAAGAAATGCACCTTTGATGCATGGCAAGTCAAATTCCTTAGAGCACTTGTATCATACAATCAAGTTACCATAGACCAAGTCAAGATCAAAGAAATACTAAACTGGCCAGTACCAACTACTGTCAAGCAAGTTCGAGGATTTCTAGGATTTGGCAACTTTTATTGCCACTTCATTGACCACTACTCAGACATTGCCAAGCTGCTTAATGAACACACAAAAAAGAACAAACCTTTCAATTGAACAGACAAATGTCAGAAGGCTTTCAATACACTGAAGCAATGATTTACCTCAGTGCCTCTTCTATTGATGCCGGATGCCACAAAGCTGTTGCTCATCGAAGCAGATGTTTCACTCTTCACGATGGTAGCAGTACTTAGGCAACAGGATGTCAATGGAGATTGGCTACTGGTTGCCTATTTATTTCAATCCTTCAATCTAGCAGAATGCAACTACAAAACCTACAATAGAGAATTACTGGCAATAGTATGAGCACTCGAAGTGCGATGCCACTACCTAGAAGGAAATCCAAGCACTACAAAGATACTCACAAATTATAAGAATCTCAGATACTTCCACTCTCCACAGTGACTGAATAGACAACAAGCAAGATGGCAACTATTCCTATCTCAGCTCAATTATGAACTCAAACACCATGCAGACACTAGGCTCATTCAGGCAGATATCATGACAAGAGCTTCTGCACCAGCTAATGCAAAATTTGATAACACAGAAGAAGTGTTACTATCTGAAGATAAATTTGTCACTACAATCCTCCTGCCAGATTCATTATTCACAGAAGAAGCAATCATCTTGAATATTGAAATTGAAGCACCTACTTCAAGTATAAACTACAAACTGGCAGATGACATATAGGAACACCTTGCACACAATGACATCGCTGAACAAGTACGGCCAGCACAACTAGGAAAAACTGACACATTTCCCTTCAAGTCAAATATAGATCAATGGAAAGAAAAAAACAGACTACTCTTCTACATAGAACAATGCTATGTACCAGAAAATCAAGTACTCAGATGCCACATTGTGTCTTCTTACCACGGTTTCTATGGAGCAGAACACTCTGAACAATGGAAAACAGGAGAACTCATCTGACACAGATACTTTTGGCCAAATATGCAGACCTTCATCTCAAACTACATTCAAAGTTGTGCAAAATGCCAATAAATGAAGGTTAATCATTAGCCAACTGTCCCACCTTTTCAACTAATCAAATCTACATGATGGGACTGGTCGTTTGCATTTATAACCTGTGACTTCATTATCTATCTCCTGGCATCTCAAGGATATAATGCTCAAATGGTCATGGTAGACCATGATTCTATGAAGGGGATAATTCTTTGCCCTTTTACAGAGAAAATGGATGCGCTAGGTACAGCCAAGCTTTACCGTCAATACGTTTACCAAAAATGTGGACTATCAGATGTCTTTCTCATGAACCACCGTCTGCAATTTGACTTTCAAGTCATGAGAGAATCGTAGAAGCTAACCGGAGTACAAGAAGAAATAAGCACTACATACCATCCTCAGGCCAATGGTCAAATGAAACAAGCTAATCAAGAGATAGAAGCATACATCAGAATATTCTGCCAGAATAACTCACACAGCTAAACACAGCTTCTTCCTGATATAGAAGTAGTGTTCAATAATCATGAACACAATGCCACAAAATATTCGCCATTCTATCTCATGTATAGCTCACACCCAAAAATCATTCCCACAGCTTTTTCCAAAACCAAGGTCCTGTTAGTACAGCAATGGCTTCTAGAGTGGACTCGTGCACATGAAGAAGCCCATGCTGCCTTAGACCAAGCACAGGATCGCATGGCATCTGGAAAAGCTCACAACGTTAATTACTACTAAATAGTACTAATTAACACTAATTAATATAGTAACATTAATTAACTGACCCCCTCTATTATGCTTACATTTTTAATAGTAAATTAACACTAATATAGTAATTCATTCATGAACTGTTCATGAGCTGTTCATTAGCTATTCATTTGATATTCATTAACTGTTATTTAGTGTTAATGAGCTGTTATCCCTTGTTAATAGACTGTTATGTCAGTATTTTTAGCTTCAAAATCAATGTACCAAAATCAAATTTAATTCTATACAGATTTTTTATGCTATACAACATATTGATAGCTCTATGCAAGCATAATATTCAGAAAAAAGAAAAAAAAATGGCCCCAATGAGAATTGAACCCCAGTCTCACTACTTTTAAGCCATCTGTTGGAACATGCACACTTTAACCACTGAACCATAAG